TTGTCTTTTTGGAAGTATCATTGGAAAATAAAAATTTGTATAATTGCACTTTAAGATATAAGAGATAAGAGGAAACGAATAATCAAATTTCTTTTAAAGTTAAAAGATTCCTCTTAAGATATAAGAGTTAAGAGGAAACAAACATGCCACCACTTGCTAACTAAACCATGGTTCCTTCATCGTCAATATGTTCTTATTGGTTTTTAACATTTTTAAAAGCAATTTCATTCCTATTTTGTCATATATAATAACTAATCAAGACCTATAGATGCATAGCTTTTACTAAGCAAGACTGAAGTATAAGAAACTCTGTGAYATTCACAATTGGGTTAAGCCTGTCTGAAATTGATGGTTTCATTATTCTTTTTCCTTTTCACCTCATCTTTTCTTTTTTTTTTTATTTGTTATCTTCGAGGTTTCTTAGTAGACAAGTTTCTAATGTATTTTATTAGGTTTATATTATGATGGAAAGTGCTGCCTTTGTTGTAATGCCGGAAGTTCATGGATGGATGATGGAGTTTTCACACTTGGGAGAGAATGGATTAGTTGAACTTAGGGCCTATTCGTTTGCTTTGAAGTCAGACATCTGAAAGTGCAATAATTACATTAAGAGGTATATTGACATTGGTGAACTTTTCTTTCCTTTGAACTCTGAATGCATAGAGTGTTGTTCTGAATTCTGAAAATTATCAAATATCTATTTTGACTCCATATATGATAGTTTTTGTTTGTCTTTTTGGGGGTATCATTGGAAAATAAAAAGTTGTATGATTGCACTTTAAGAGATGAGAAATAAGAGGAAATGAACAATCATTTTTCTCTTAAAGTTAAAAGATTCCTTTGAAGAGATAAGGGTTAAGAGGAAATGAACAAACCCGTGTAAATGATTGGTGCAAATTTTGATTTATTTTTGCATACAAATGAAGTAAAATAAGACATGAAACAAAATAAAGTAAAACCCAAAACAAAATTAAACTAAGTTTTATTTTATTTGTACTTCCATGCATTTGTGCATTTGTATTAGTGCAAATTTAACTAAGCCTTAACCTTTATGTTACATGAGTATCATTGTGTCAGAGTCATATAAGAAGCTTAACTTGCCACGTGGAATGTAAAAGAATGTGTGGAAAATCTGAACCTTAAAGCTATGTTTGGTTTGAAGGAGAAAAAAGGGAAAGGCAAGGAAACCTTCACAAATTTTGTATAGGTTTTCATACCTTTCCCTTCCTTTCCTTACCATTTTCTTGAAACCAAACATAGCCTTACTTGAAAGGAGTCCTATGAATGGAAAAAAATGCATGGCCCTAAGAATGCAAAATTATTAGACAAATTGATTGCCCCAAATCAGGCTGCTTTCATCAAGGGCAGGCAGTGTGTGGATAGGGTGACATTGGCGCAGGAAATCACCAACAAAATGAGGAAACATAAAAAGGGAAAAGGATGGATACTTTTCAAACTGGACATGTCAAATGCATTATGCATATGATCGGACAAGACATTATTTTATTATTGAGGTTTTAAAGGAGATGGGTTTCCCAAAACTATGGTGTATTGAAACGCCTAAGCTTTCAATCAAGATAAATGGAACTCAAAAAGGATTTTTTTACACACAAGAATGGGCTTCAATAGGGGGATCCATTATCACCTTGTTTATAATAGGGATGTAAATACTGCCCTCCCTCCTGTCTAAGGCTGAGTTCAACAAGAATATCAGTGGCATTCAACTGAACTGAGGTGAAACCTCTACCGCTCACCACCTTTTATTTGTTGATGATTGTTTGGTGATCTGCAAAGCGGAGAAACACCAGGTGCAAAAAATACTTCATATTCTAAAAGTTTTGGGGGATTTGTTTTGTCAGTTGATCAAAGAAGTTAAATCTGGATCTCAATTCAGCTCAGGTGTCCATAGATGGCTAAGGAAGGCTTTCCTTCAACTATTAGACTTCAAACATCTAAAAGTAGTTGAAAGGTACCTAGAGGCTCAACTATGCTTTGGAAAAAAAAAAAGCAAAAATCAAAACCAGTTAGAGATCATGAGTAAAATGCAATCAAGACTGGCTTTATGAAAAGCCAAACTGCTATCCTAAGCTGGTCACACCACCATGGATCAATTTACTCTTCAAGCCACCCCTACGTATATCATGGGTTCAGTCATTCTCCCTTCCCACACTACCTCAAAATTAGAACAGAACCAAAAACAGTTTTGATGAGAGGGAACTTGAAACCAGAAGTCCTTACATACTGTTGCTTGGAATAAAATTTGCCAACCAAAAAGTAAGAGGTGGTTTGGGTTTTAGAAGGATGAAAGAATTCAATCTTGCCCTGTCCTCTAAATAGATTTGGAGAGTGTTGACAGGAAATTCAGGTCTGTGGTCACAGGTTATTAGAGAAAAGTATGTTACAAGGAAATCCATATTTCAGCTCAAGTCTAGATCTTCAGATTCAAAATGGTGGAAACAAGTTGTTTCTTTTTTGAACCAAATCAAGGGAAGCCTAACTTAGCAAATAGGAGATAGCAGGCCAATCCATCTGATTGACTCGTGAGTTTCCTCCTTAGCTCCAAAATTACTAGGGGTGCTGGGATTTTCAAAAAACTGAACCCACTCTTTACAAATAGAAGTGTAAGTCACATCCTTCAAATCCAATTATCAAATTCTGGATCTGCAAACAAACTGCTCTGGAAAAGAACCAAGTCTTGTATTTATAATGTTAAATCCGGTTACAGGCTATTTATGGACCTATCTCCCTCCGCCTCTAGTCCACCTATACTGTGGAACCTCATTTGGAGGGTTAAAGTTCCTTTGCGATCTCAACTACTCATGTGGAAGGCATGGTGGTGTGGTATAAAAACTAAAAAGAAGAATGCAAATATGTAGAGTGCAAAACCTTGTATTTTGTATGTATTTGCACCATACATATTTACATTTGTGCTCTTTCCAAATTGAGCCTAATGTAATTCAGCTATGGAGTCTTGGCAGCATTAATTTTTCACTTATCATTATGCTAGAGAAGTCTGGCTTACTGCACAAATAGGCATTAATCCAGAAGCAGCTCAGAACAAAATGATGTACACACTTTACGTAAATGGATTGAAATCAAACTAAAACCACTGCCAAGGGAGGAGCAATTTCCTAGCTAAATTCTTCATTCTTTCTTTTTATACTGATCATCTGGGACGTAAGGAATGCAAAGATACACAGACAGAAATTCCTTAATTCAGCGCAATTTGTAGACAGGGTGAAGAGTTATTTACCAACAGTGATTCAGAGGTGTGACACTCATCCACTCTATCTACAAAACCATCTCTTCCTCAAAATTTCATATGTATATAGATGGGTCCTTTATTCAAGGAAGGGATATGGCAGGAACAGGTTTCAATATTTATATTGCTGAACAAAAATTGATATGTGCAGGAAGCCAGCGGGTTACAGCCTCTTCCCCTCTCCAAGCTGAATGGTGGGCCTTACTTCATGGACTACAACAAGCTTAACAACTCAATGTAAAATCCCTTGCAATTTTTTCTGGCTCAGAAAGCATGGTGGCCGGTTTTTACACTGATGGTGCCGAGGACTGGACTATTAGACCTATCAAGGAAAAAACTATCTACTTATTATCCTTTTTTGGTATTGTATGTACAAACTATATAAATAGAAACCTGAATTAGGCTTGTAAATATAACAAAACTCTACGGTACAGGGCAGCCAACCTCCTTTCTATATGTCCCAAGTGCTTATCAATTAAAATGAAAGCTTTCTGGGTTTCTTTTTCTTGAACAAAAAAGAGATCTTCCAGCGGTGCATGGGAGATGATCCGAAGTGCTGTGAGAGCTCGGATCTTCTCCTCACACCAACACCAACTTTACATTAGCTGAACGCCTTAACTGTTCAGCGGGCTGTGGAACCAATGACGAGGTTCCACACCAGCAATAAATTCATGGGTCCCACGGGTCCCATGTATTTAAATACTGGCATGCTTGGAACCTTATCATTGGTTCCACATCATGTTGGTTCAGCTAAACCTTGCTCCCATAAAACACCATCTCCATGTATTGGGAATGTCTCCCCTTGAACGAGAAGAAGATATTCTTTGAATTTGGATTTATTCCTCACAGAGCACACCTCACATGGACSGCACAGCACATTTCAGGGGTGCATTGAGAACATCCCCCATGAATAAAAATTTACAATTAGGAAAATGTTACATATGCATGGCTAAAACATGTTGTGAGGAGCGCATCCCAACTCATATTCCCTACACCTGTAGTGTTCTATGGGTAGGTATGTCGTATGTGAAAACAGCTTATGGATAGCAGATCGAGTCCGGATCTGCTGCATGATACATTGCTGGCCACACACATCTAGCTATATATCTGGAATGTTGGTGTTTTAAAATACAATCAATGCTCCTGATGTATGACAGGATGCATGTGGCCAAAAATGTGTTGTGGTCAGCAGATTCAACTCTAGCAGATCCAAGCCCATGTGCTGCCGTTTGGTCATTTATGTGAGATGTTTTCAATGCACGGCTGATATGTGATGAGAGATGTTTTGAATACATGACTGTGATGTAATGAGCGTTTTGTGTCTTGCAAATCTGATTTCATAAGTTTGAAGGGCCATTTATAGGGATGGCAATTTACCCGTAAAGTATTATAATTCAATTCTAAAATACCCCCAAATTCCTATATCTTATGTATAAATTGTCCAAAAAATAAATAATTTTTAAATAATTTCCTTGGAGCGAAAAAAATTCGGGGATTTCCCCTCCTCGATGGAGAATGGATGCCTTGCCCCGAACCCACCCCGCCACCGAGGACGGGGCAAGGTATCATGAGTTAGGGGCGGGGACGGGAAGCGGGTGCTCCGCCCCAAACCCGCCCCGTTGTCATTCCAATTACGACTTGCATCGATTTGCCACGTGGAATATCTCTTGTTCGTTCGGCCATCTTCGCTGAGCGGTCCGCTTAGAATACCCGCTCGCACTTCGCATATATTTAAGCGGCGAGGATCTGGATTTTAGATAGAAAAACGATGGCGATGGCTATGATGAGGTCTGGTCTTCAGGCAGCACTTCGCAGGGGTGGACGCAACGCTTCTCCGAAGCGGAGCTTCGCTTCCTCTGCTCATCACGACGACGCCTGTAAGTCGTCTTTTAATTTTTTTTCTGGGTTGCTCCTTTGATAATTTGTAAAAGAGAACATCAAAATTCAATGGTAATATAGTTGACTTTTGTTTCTACATGGAACATCGATACCATCTGATGGATTAGGGTTTTATTTCATGTGCGAAGGCTTTTGAACTTGAATTTGGGTTTTAATTTTTGTATTGCTTTCTTGTGCATTCCAGGTTTTAGGTTTCCCCTTTCTTTGGATAATTGTTTGAATCAGTTTTAATGAAAGATGTCGTTTTTTTCTTATTCCATTACATTGATATACACTAAAATTTCATCATTTGCGTTTCTTACGTTCCTAATCGATGTTGATATGTCTGTAACTTTTTTTTTTTTGCCTCCTGTATGCAACTCGATGGCTCAACTGAATAAAGGATATATGCCATTGTTTCTCAGATGAGACAGCAAAATGGGAAAAGATAACATATGCAGGCATTGCTACTTGTACCATTTTGGCGTTTAACAACCTATCAAAGGGTCATCCCCACCACGAAGAGACCCCTGTAAGATTTTGTTGCCTCGTTTCAACTACCTTCTTCATTCTTCTATTTTTTGTGTGTCTGTGGGTGTTCTTTGTCCCGGAGCGCCTGGTTTGTGACATTAAATTGACTGTAGCAAGCAAGATACTGGGACTCTCTCTCTCTCATTTCTTTTTTTGTATTTATACTTGAGACTTTCTTACTTATTAAGGTTCCTGAGAATTTTGTTTCCTGTCTCTATGTTTGCAGCCATACTCATATTTGCACATTCGTAACAAGGAGTTCCCATGGGGTATGTTTCATTCTATCCACAATATCTTGATAATGGAGTTGCATTCTAGGGCACAAAAGATCAATCCCAAATTAAAGGATTCGGTATTCTGTTTTTTTTTTAATGTGACATCATAATTCTTTGGCATGCCAATCAGCTGCAGAACGCGATAAAGCCATAATATGTACTAATTATTTCAGTGATTATTCTTCATGACTTATCTTTACATTTGAAGACTAAAGTGGTTTTAGTATGAAGCACTTTAGAGGTTTGTTGACTGGTTATTTGGTATCTATCCAACTAGACCAGTCAAAGCTTTGCTCATTTTTTCCTTGCCAACTTTGAGAAAGGAATTTTCTTTAGTGGACAGAAGAGGATCTAGCTGACACCCAGAAGGGTAATTGAGAACATTATGGATCATCAACACCACAATCGCCTTATTTTTGGATTGGAACTCCACATCCACAATCTTGTACATTAAGAACTTTATGGATCCATATTTCGGATGGCAAAAGATGACCCAATAAATATTTCTTTGAATTAGAATGCTGTTTCCATCCCCCCTCCTGTGGCACTTTTGAGGCCTTCCATTGAAAAAGTTAGACCTGTCTATGACTCAACAGAGCTAAAAAGTATCAGGTTGCTCTGCAACCTATTGAAAAGGATAGACTTTATTAAAGTACTTCTGGGTATATTTGAAATACTATTGTTTTAAGTATGTCTGAATATGGTTGTTAAACTAACTATGATATGCTAGAGGAATTATCTTCAAAAGAAAGTAAGCCATTCTCGATAATTGCTGTTTGATACTCTTGCAGCAAACCAGAACCAGTGTAGCAAAAAATTCCATGTTTTGACTCAGACATTGGATGTCAGACATGAAAGCCTCCAAAATCTAGAAAAGTAAAATGGCTATACATGTCACCAACTTCTGGTGGAAAGTGTAACTGCTGTGGTCTTCAGGATGCCCTTCTGGGCCTGATCCCAGCTTGTAAGTTTTTGAGTTGAATAAAATTACTTTACCTTTTCCTAAAAAAAAAATTCATGTCACCAACTTCTTAGGTATATATATATATATATCCAAGCCCCTTTAAAAGTGGTCAATAAAATTCAACATAAGATATTGGCAAGGATCAAAGACAAGAATACAGCCTTAAGCATCTGACTTGGTTCTCATTTCCTGAGACTATACTTAATCTCCTGTCATGAAAAATAAACTGATCTTCAATTATAAAAAAAAAAGATCTTGAAACTTGAAAATAGTGCCTTTACGAATAAAAAATCTATGGAATGTGGTTATTAGTCAGGCATAATTTACAGTCTTATTTTGAGCATCTATTCTAGCAGGTTTATAGCCAGTTTAATTTCTCATATTGTATGTGCCTTTTGAAAATTTTACACTTTTTTGCTTTTTTTTTTATCCTAACGGCTGGGCCCGGCCCAGCCGACCATGCCCCTCAAGGCAAGCCCTAGGGTCTTAAGTTCTTAATTTTCACACAAAAAATAATGCTTTTATAATTTTAATTGCCTTTTAAGAAGATATTTTATTAATGTTGTTCATTCATTCATCTTAATAAAATATTTTCTATTTGCTAATGTTGTTGTTCATTCATTCATCTTGATAAAAGATCTTAAAAGGCAATTAAAATTGTACAATCATTATTTTTTTGTGTGAAAATTAAGAATTTAAGACCCTAACATGGACTTGTTTGGGCTTGCCTTGAGGGGCGTGGCACAAAGGCGGTTCGTAAAATCAAGACTGTAATATGTTTTACATTACATTAGCTACTTGAAATAATGCAATTGAGGAAAAAAAAGAGATTGTAGGTTTTACATGGTTGAAAATGTTTTATATGTTTGATTTTATTTTAAATTTTCATTTGAATATGCTTTACATGTTATGCTTATGTATTTTAATTTTAGATAATAGGTTTTTTAAAACATTTATTTTAAAATTCAAGTTTATAGTTTTTATTATTTTTTTTTTATTTCTTTTTGCATTTTTTTTGAAATTTCTGACTTTTTTTTTATTTTTTAGCATGTTTTTTGTATTTTGTGCGCTTGCTTCAAAAAGGCATGCGCCTCACCTTGTGCCTTGCGCTTTTAAAACACATTAGAGTTGACCTTAGTTGTTGTTTGAATTCAATGATATAGTCTCCATGCATCTTGCTGCCTTGGCTTTATGTGCCTTTTCGTCCAAAATTGGACCAAGAAACACCTAGATAATCAGTCAGCTGATGTGAGGGAGTTGAGACAGATGGGTGGCAGGCTATGAAAAAGTAAAGTAGGAACTAATGCACCTGAGGTTGTGAGTAGATCAATAAGCATTAAAGCTAGTTGACCTAGATGTCTTATACAATTGATGATGACAGTTATTGAGTTGTTAAAAATTGGGGATAGGGGGATTTCAAAAAGAATATTGGTTAAAAGTTACTAGGAAAAATAAAACGAGTAGCTAGGAAAAAATAGATATTTTAATGGACACCCTTAGTTGACAGAAGTATAGAGTTGCAGTGATCAAGGTGGAAAAGGCATCGTTCATAGAGTAAAAAATGTGTCACTTTCCATTTTGAAGCCTGTCTTCTTTGAAAGAAGGCGGGGGGGGGGGGGTTGTGTGTGTGTGTGTGTTGTCCTCCAAGCAGCCTTGAACATCTTTTCTGATTAAAATAAATTTCCTGTTTTTGTGGTTATTGCTAGCATATGAAGTTGTGTAACACTGATAAAGAAATCATGTATCACTGAAGCTTGTCAAACCTAACTAGGCAAGCATTGCTGTTCATAGATAATTGGAAGTAGAATCTATTCAGGTTGTGCCCCAAAATAATAGGGTGCCCATTATACATGCACCTGTTATCCTTAAACAGTCAACTATTAGTTCCTGGAAATAAATTGCTGATTTGGTTTGGGTTTGAATTACTCTGGTTTGGGTTTGAACAACTAATACTTCCTTCCTGATTGTAGCAGCCAACTTGGTTATATTTTATCTATTATCTAAACTAGTTTCATAGCAGGATTTGTCACCAATCAATTGGCAGTTGTCTTTTTCAAGCCACTGCTTACCGTTTTGGGAATATTTGCAGCTCCAGGATTAATGGATGTGTATTAGTGCTACCTAGGATTGCTTTTGCACTACTCTAGGGCTTCAATTTGAATATTTTTATTAGGAATTAATTTGATTTGACAATTCATGTTCATTTGAGACCAGTAATTAGGGAAATCCAACCTAAGGCTCAATCCTTTTGTATTGATTTGTAATTCACCACTGATCTACATCAATCTGCCTCCTGGATGAGTTTGATTGTGGAATAATTTTCTCAACAGTTCCTTCTTGGATAGGCTTCAGATGTTTCCTTTGTTGGTAGGTAACTGTGCCAATTGGACATTCAGCATAAAGCTGTTTCTTTATATTTTTAGTGAAACCTGTTTATGCTTGTGGGCTTCTGAGGAAAGATAGTATTTGCTTGAGTACATAACTGTATGATATTATTGAGTTTGGTTTAACAGCGTCTTGGACCAAGTAATAGATGGAGTATGCTGCTCCAGTAATCTTAGACATTTGTAGACGCTGATTTCCCAGATCTTGAACCAGTACTGTGTGAAGGACAGATGTAGATTTGAGAACGGAATTGGGAATTCTTGTATCAAGCAGTTTCTTTTGCCTGTGCATTGCACTACAGATTCAAATGGTTTGCTTAAGTAGTATTTTAAGGTTCATTTAAATGGTGGTCAGGGTAAATCTTTTGAGATAACCGGTGAGCTTTGTTGCACCTATTGTTGAGCTTTGGCTTTCTTATTATGTTAAGGTCGTTAATTGTTAGTTAATACATATATAGGTATTATTGAGAAGGCCAATTTTTCTTTTTTTTTTTATTCCTTTTTCTTTTTTAATGCTATGTAAACCATCCCCCCCCGGGGGGGGGGGGGGGTAAGGAGCCAGGTCCGTGGGAACTACAGCCACGAACTTTGATGCCAAACTGTAACTGTGGAACTCCTAAGTGGTTAGTCGAGCTGAAGGGTTTATCATTATTGGGTTGTGCTATTTTTCATCATTGCTTCTGGAGCTTTCCTGGGCATGATCTGCAGCAAAAATGTGCTCTACTAGTATTTTGCTATATTTTCTATTGGTACTCAATCTTCTAGTTATACTTTGAATTAGTTCACAACTCAAAATATCTGTGTCAAATCAGTTCTATCTTGAATCGGTTCTTAATCTAACCTATGATTAAGTTTTTGATTGATTACTGTTTGATGGTGGTAATATTTATTTTTGGTCTTTGACTACTGTCCAGGTCCCGATGGCCTTTTTGAGAAGAAACACGCTGACCATTGATTAACGAATCTGTGATGGACGTTTCTGGACATTGATGTTCAATTAGCACATTCCCGTCTTATGAGACTGCCTGTGGCAAGTTATTTTCAGTTTTCTGTTGTTGCATCTCTCCTAATAAAGATTGATGGATACTTTAAAAAGACTCTGCTTTGTGTTCCTTGAAGCAAAATTGCCCAGAATTTCATTCTTTCTTTTGTTGGTCGACGGTTTTAATATATTGGGGTCGCTTCTGACTGTCTATTGTATATCCAAGGGCCAATATGCTAGAGTTGGGTGAGTTGGAATTAATTAATTTGGGAGAACGAAGAGGCATGGATGCTGTAACTGCTGATGAAAGTCGTTAGGCTTATATATGGATGGGATGATGGAGAATATGCTGGGTTCTGTCTGGCCTCTAGGCACGAATTTCCGCATGGACTATACAACCAAACATTTTTATTTTTGGCAATACAATCGGTTCCATCCATTCAAATCTGAGGCATAACTGGCTTTCGTTGTTACCCAATGCATGGTTTATGTTTCAACATTCTGACATCTAAGGCGTCGGGGAATGCTATTTAAAAAGATCGTACGTAACAGAGTTGGGCGTCGTCACTCGAGCATATTTCTCATTTCTCGTGTGCATCATGTATGCCTTCATGGGTCGACCCAGTCCAGTTAATCGCTTGATCCCAAGTCTACAATCACTATCAGAAATTTTTATCCTTATTTGAGTAGCAGACCAATGAGTTCGGTTTCAGTACTCACAGAACCGTTCTCAGACTGTCCCCACGGCCTTTTTTACATCCGTGCATTGGGAACATATCCTTAATTGTTAAGTAGTATATTTATTTTTGTGAGACATTTCCAATACACGGGAGCAAGGGGCTGTGCGAATGGTGTGAGCCCGGTCTGGTGAGGACCAAATCCATTTTAGTTGTTGGTGTCCATAAACCTACCGTTATCATACGTCCTTGTTGGGTTCTGGCCTTCTGGGTAGTCTTTATTGCTGTTTTGGTGCTTCTTGGATGAGGGAGTACAAAACTACAAATATAAATATGTACTTTATATTATATTTTGTATACATTTGTATTAAATATATTTTCTCTTTCCAAATTGAGCCTTATGTATGGACTTGACCTCTGTACTGTATTCGTATTCTGACATGAGTCCGGGTATCTTGTCAACGATATACACTCTAACACATGATCTGACACCGAACATCTTATACATGGTCATGGTGGATCCCCCGGTCTGAGTTTGAGTATGTGCCGATCTGAACTCAGTTGACACTGGAGGCTTGGAACAAACGCCTCGTTTAAGAAAACATATTTAATTCGACCACTAGTTCAACTAGAGGGGCAGTTGGCACTGGTACCACTCCTTCCCAAGTCCCAACCATGGTTTTTCTTCGTCCATGCCACGTCAGATTAAGGAGAGTCATCACCTTTTAACGGAAGTAAATGTTTTACCAGATGCTTCTCAAAACAGGACATATTCAGGCTTCAGCAGCTGCTTCTCCGGCGTCATCATCGAGTTGGCAACGTTTCCCTCCCAACTCCGACCCAAAAAGGTTTGTCTTGCTCATAAATAGATACCCAAGAACATAGCTTGTATTCCCAATTTCCCAGGAATTAAACCGGCAGCATGTACACGGGTCCGTGTGAATCTCGCTTTCAACTTTGAATTCTAATTAGTATATAAATTTATGATACAATGTCCATGCCCAAATATGTCATTTCATTACCCCCCAACCCCCCCCGATAGGTACTTCCCAGTCTCATATGAGTTGTATACTTGTATTAACCTGCATATGTTTGATATTTCTTTCTTTTATATCAATCTTTACTGCTTATGCCTAGAGCAAGAGTTGGTTTTGAGAAGAAGCTATGCTTTGTCAAGTTTAGTTCTTCCCCAGTGCAGTCTCAACGGTGCCGGAGAAGAATTTGCTGAAGGTGCCCTGCTTTGAGAAGAAGCTGGGGTTTGCCAAGTTGACTTCCGTTGTTGACATTTGCTTCCATTAGAGTTGTTAGCGTATTCTCTATACCTCCTTACTTCTAGGAGATAATTAGTTGTGCATATCCTAGCTTCTTATTTCTTTTTCTTTCCTTCTTGTATTCTCTTTAGGTCACACACCTTGTCTTCCTATTGTATCCCAATTATAATTAGTTCTACTATAAATAGAGCTGCAGCCTGTTGAATTTGGACATGAGAGAAATTATTATCTTATCCATCCATTGTTCTTGTTCTCATATCATATCATGGTATCAGAACCCATCGTTCTTGTTGCACCACCTTGGGTTGAAGGCTAGCACGAGCCCTCTCGGCCACGAAATAGGAAACGAACGAGAGATCTTACCGGAAGCAGGGTCGCTGAGGTAGATACCCGAGAGGGTGACTCAACCCGAATCGCCGAGCGGATCCCCGGAGTATAGCGACACTCCATTGAAGACTCTCCCATCGCCAAGCACAACATCCGCTGGAAATTCCCTGTCGATGGTTGACGCTCCAACGGTGATAATCCATGGCGCAATATTGACGGTGCCAAACGCCCCGATGGCGATAGAATCATGATAGTATGAAGGTGCGTAGCCGGTTGCGCCAACGGAAAGAGAGATTATATGTACGCCATTGGCGATGACCTGATCCATTGCGACTAAAATATCGGAATCAAAACAACTGAGTTTCTAGCAGACCTTGTAAGCAACGATTCTTGCCCTGGTAGCCATGCCTTTGGCTTCTCCCACCGTGAACTTATAAAACACAGCTTCCCTAACGGCTGCTCCGGCAGCTGTGGATGCCGTGTGAGTCCCGTGCCTGGGAAGGTGGAAACGTTTGAAGATTCGACTCTACGAATTTGACGGTCACATGAGCAGGATCTGAAGCCGCAGGTACTGATCCGGAAAATTTCTCGTTGTCCTTGTCGAGACTGGCATAGCCGCCGGACATCATCTTTTCCCTCCTACAGCAAGTCGCGAGAAATCAAATCCTTCTTAAGGTAGGATATGTACAACTAATTATCTCCTAGAAGTAAGGAGATATAGAGAATACGCTAAAATGGGCGTGTAGAACGAAAACATAGGCATATTCTTGATACTGTTCGAGCCCTTTTAATCTCTTCCTCTTGTCCTGAACGTTTTTGGGGGGAAGCAGCCCTCACTGCTGTTTATACCATCAATTGCATTCATTCTCCTGTTATTGGTAACATTTCTCTTTATGAACGATTGTATGGCCATTGCCCTGATTACCAGTCTTATTTCCCAACGACTTCGCATATCTCGTCATGTTACCTTTTGGGAACACAAAATGTTCTCCAGTCTCTCCCTATTTCGAGTTACCACGACATATTCACATTTTTTTACTGATCCTACTATCTCGTTTTTTCCTGATGATTTACCTACAGGTCCGACTACCTTTTCATCTGATAGCTCTGACAGTACTGCACAACCTGTAACCACTCCTGATGCATCTATCTTGGCTATGGATCCTCCAGCTCTGCCTTCTTCTAAGCCCTTGATTCCTCTTGATGAATTAGACCCCGCTTATTCTGATGCTCCACTCCGTCGCTCCGGTAGGATCACTAAACCTTCCATTCTTCTTCGAGATTTTCATTGTTATTCTACCATTGTATCTTTATATGAGCCTTGTACTTATCGCGAGGCTAGTACTGACCCTCTATGGAAAAAAGCAATGGCAGAAGAAATTCATGCTCTTACAAGCACTCATACTTGGGATTTAGTTGACATGCCTCCAAATAAATCCGTGATTGGTTGCAAATAGGTCTACAAAATCAAAACTCGGGCAAATGGTTCAGTTGAAAGGTATAAAGCTAGATTGGTAGCTAAAGGGTTCACACAAGAGTATGACATTGATTATGAGGAGACTTTTGCCCCAGTAGCCCGTCTCACTCCTGTTCGCAATCTTATTGCGATTGCTGCAGCTAAGCATTGGCAGCTATTTCACATGGATGTTAAGAATGCTTTTCTCAATGGTGATTTTTCTGAAGCGATTTATATGCAGCCCCCTCCTGGTTATGACCATCTCCTTAATCAGGTTTGTTGTTTTCGTAAGGCTCTATATGGACTTAAGCAGGCGCCTCGAGCATGGTTCTCCAAATTTAACTCTACTATTTGTCAGTTTGGTTTTCAATCTAGCACTTGTGATCATGCCTTGTTCATCTGAAAGACATCTCAGGGTTGTGTACTTCTCCTTTATGTGGATGACATGATCATTACTGACGATGATTTGCAGGGCATTTCCGCTCTCAAGACCTTTCTTAGCAAACAGTTTGAAATGAAAGATCTTGGTCGACTGAATTATTTTTTAGGCATTGAGGTCTCCTCCGACCATTCGGGATATTATCTCTCTCAGGCCAAGTATGCCACTGATCTTGTTTCTCGTGCAGGACTCACTGATATTAAAACTGTTAACACTCTGATTGAGCCTAATGCCCATTTTTCAACCATTGATGGTACTCCTCTTAGTGACTGCACCTTATATCGGCAACTAGTTGGCAGTCTTGTATATCTTACTGTTACTCGTCCTGATATTGCGTATGCTATCCATATTGTAAGTCAGTTCATGTCTGCCCCTCGCACTACTCATTATGCTACTATGCTTCGGATCATCCATTATGCCAAGGGCACTTTGTTTCGTGGACTTCACTACTCCAGTTCTTCCCCTCTTCATTTGATCACATATTCTGATGTTGATTGGGCTGGTGATCCTACTGATAGACGCTCCACTACTAGTTATTGCTTATTTCTTAGAGATTCTCTTATCTCTTGGCGTAATAAGAAACAAACGGTTATCTCTCGTTCCAGTACTGAAGCTGAATATCGAGCTCTTGCTGACACTACCTCCGAGCTGTTATGGTTACGATGGTTACTCAATGACATGGGACTTATTCATTCATCTGCAACCCCTCTTCACTGTGACAATCATAACGCCATATAGATTGCCCACAATGATGTCTTTCATGAGCGCACTAAGCATATTGAGACTGATTGTCACTTTATTCGTCAACATGTGCTCGAAGATACTGTTCGCCTTATTCCTGTCCCTTCCCAGGATCAGTCTGTAGATATATTTACCAAAACTCATTATCCTCTTCACTTTCGTGCTCTCGTTGGCAAATTCCAGATAACTGATACATTACCATCTTGAGTTTGAGGGTGGATGTTAGCGTATTCTCTACATCTCCTTACTTCTAGGAGATAATTAGTTGTACATATCCTAGTTTCTTATCTCTTTTTCTTTCCTTCTTATATTCTCTTTAGGTCACCGACCTTGTCTCCCTATTGTATCCCAATTATAATTAGCTCTACTATAAATAGAGTTGTAGCCTGCTGAATTTGGACATAAGAGAAATTATTATCTTGTCCATCCATCGTTCTTGTTCTCGTATCGAGAGTAATGGCTCTACTTAATCTCATATATCACTCATGATAAATGAAAAAGAAAACAAAGTCTATGGTTCGAATGTTTAAGCAATGCAGTATAGGATGACTTGTTACTGTTTTTTAGTGGATTAAATGATCAAATAATAAATTATTCAAGGGTACAGTAGTCCATTCAACTTCAGTCATAAGGAATTCACAACATCCTTAGATATATTCACTAGTATAGATTTCCATGTACAACTCACATATTTCATACTTAAGAAAAATGTGCCGATTTTTACATTCTTATTCAAAATCTAGAAATAAGTGTATGATACATGTATTTACCATGTTCCAACTTCTAAGCTAAAACCTCTTAAGAGTTGATTCATCCACCCGGTAAAGCAACAATGCATGTTTGATGAGAAACAACATCTCATGGGAAATTTAAATCAATTACAGAATTACATACCTTACTTCTCAATCTGCCAATATTTTTTTCTCTGCCAACTTTGACAATATTGCATGACAGAGCAGAAACAAACAAGAAAATTACAGTTGATTATTTACCTAGCAACCAAATTAAAGAAGAAAAACAGAAGTGGGAAAATTATATTACGAGCAATGTATCGAGAGAGATAAGGCTTGTAATTGTTTTGTCAGAGCTTTTACTCTGCTGCTACTTCACTATTTTTTCCTTCAGTTTCAATCTCTGGCAAGGTACCAAGATCTGTACGAGCCTCTTTCTCTTCTTGTGGAATGGAAGAATCCCCATGTTCACTTTGAGCTCCATTTGTATTCTCATTTGTAGTTGAAGACACAGAACTATCCTCTGCTTCCTCTGTTGCACCATTTGTCTCAGTTTTCTCACTCTCACCTGAAGATCCAGAGCCATCCTCTGCTCCAGCAGTTGTGTTGGACTTAATAACCTCTTCTTCCGGCACAGCACGCTCTTGAGCACCAGAAGCATCTCTGGATTCTTCCATGGTTACATCAGCACTTTGATTTGTTGTGTTTGTTCCGACACTTATATTAGAGTTGTCAACTTGTTGCAGTACAAGGTCCTGCAGGTTGGAGCCATCTCCATTTACGGTTCCACTGTCTGCAGTTGTATTTTGATCTTCAGTCAACTCCTTAATAATATCTTCACCACCCTGCATGACTGAAGCTGGACTTTTTGCACCCTCAGACGTGTTGTTGTTTGCTTCTGGTTGATCATTAGGTTCTGTGGTTGTTGAATTAGGTTGAGACACATTCTCTGATACAGACACAGTAATCTCAGCGCTCTTCTCCTCATTGGTGGTAGAATTCACATGAAGGTCACCTTCAATGGTTTCACCTCTTTCCTTCGAACCTGAGTCATTTTGATCAGCAGCAGCAGCTTCCTGTGTGCCTTCAGGTTTATCTTCCTGTTCTGTCTCGTGTATTTCTGTGTTCTGCACTTGCTCTTCCTGTGTATCAGTTTTATTTTCCTGCTCCTTCTCTTGCATTTCTGTCTTCTCCACTTTCTCTTCCTCATTTGAGCCTTCAGAACCTCCATTTTCAGTTTCAGAGATTATAAGTTGGGTATCTCGTACAACGGCACTGGAAGCATCATCCCCCTTGTAATTCTCCTCCCGTGCTTCTTGAGTATTCCTATCGCTTCCATCATGATCCTGATCCTCCATTGAACCTGAATTGTCAATATGATCTTCATTCTCTTTTTCTTCCCTATCCTTCTCCTCTTCATCAATAAAATCCTCCCCTCGTTCAGCTTCCTCTTCGGCTTTTTCTTGATCATGTTCATCTATTTCATCATCTCCACCCCCTCTGCCTTCATCCTCGGTCTCCTCAGGTTTGTTTTCATCTTCTTCTTCTTCTTCTTCCTCTTCAGGCTTGTTTTCTTCTTCACTTGCTTCTTCATTGCCATGCTGAATCTCAAAACCTGGCCTTTCCAGGTGTGGATTGAGGTCCTTCCTCCCCAGTTTTAAGATTCCATGTCCAATCTCTACATTTTCTGAGATTCTAGCAGTGCTCTCATCAAATGCCTTCTTTTTGTCATGGGAGTGTTTGACTTGGTAAAGCAACCATATGCAAACTCCAAGCAATAAGCATATCTGAAGAGCATGCTTTACCTTGAAGCCTTTGGACCTTTGGTTTCTACTAGGCGATTGCCTGAACATGATTGATTTCAGTAAACTCCAACTAACACTTCTCCTCCCAATATTAATGGAATGCACCAAAACCTAACAAAACCAAACGTGTATAATTGGCACAAGAGAATCAAGGAATGATATAAAAGATGAGAAATATCTCAAACTAAGTACCCTCCTAAAAAGGTTGAACGAGATAGAGATATCATAGAAAAAAAGTGCAATATTGATGAGGAATCGCAATAAAGGACTCCGACAAGGCAAAACACTACCATTAGCCATAACCAACTATAAATTTGATTTCATAAAACAAAGAAGATATGAAAACCACAGATGCTGCAAAATGAACCAGAACCACAAGCTGGTTGTTGTTTAAGAATAAGTGAAATCAGCAGCAAATATAACAAATCAAGAATGCCTGGGGATTTGAGTGCATTAGTTCCCAGAAAAAAGGACTCTTATAGACGGCAAATAACAAATAAAGAATGCATAATGTGAGACAGAATGAAGAAAACATTCTTCAATCAATCCACAACTCGATCTAAAAAGAAACGCATAATTTAAGCTAGAGTAGCAGCCGTTTTCCTTGAAGAGCTGAACTAAATAGGAGATGGATAAAACCAATAACAGAACGAAAACAAATTACGGTTTCTTCAGTATCTCTAGTATTCAATGATCAAAGACGATCTGTAACGAAATGCGCTTTTACAAACCAAAACCCAGATTCAGTTAATGCTGGGACTAAGCAACCGACTAAAAAAATCACATATTTAAGTTGAGGAAAGTAAACCCATCTTGTAAAGAAAATTTGGATGGGACTGGGACCCCAAGATCAAAGCCCCAAAACCCAACTGGTTCTCAACCAAAACATACTGAACCACAGCCCCTGAATTTAACAACTCCCACAAAAACAACAAGCTGTTTTCCCTATTTCGAACTGTCGCATCTTTACATAAAGCAAAGGGCATCAAATATACAAACATACAAGATCTCCACAGTCTCTGTTACAGGAATGCTTGTGGAAAAGCTAAGAAACAGAACATAGAAGAACACCAAACAAAACCTAGTATAAAAAGAGAGAGAGAGAAAAGAAGAAGAATTGTAGATCCAAAATCATCGGGGAAGAGAAAGAGAAAGAGAAACGAACCTGAAGAAAGCGAGGCGGCAGATCTCAAGTAGTAACGGGAAAAGTTTGCGCCTTTCACAAGGGTTTTGTACAAGTGAGCGAGTGGCAGTTAGGAAGTGCAAAGGGCACGCGTGTGCGTTGGGAGAGGCTTTCCTTCCACTTTTCTCAGTTTCTCAGATCAGATCTGACAACGAGAGGGAGAGAAGAGAAAGAAACAAGCAGAAGATAGGAAGTATTGAAACATAGGCCTTACTTCAACAGCTACTACACCAACACAGTGACTGTGCGGCCGGCATGTTATCTTTTCCCCAGGCCCCGGCTAAATGTTTTATTTTTTGGGCAATAAGTTCCCCCGACTAATGATGGTTGAAGGACCTGAGGTCAGTTGCTCTAATCTAAAATTTATTTCGCATTATTTACCTAATGGCTACTTCTTTCTCTCTATTCTCGATCATCCACGACCTATTTGCGTCTTCTCGCTCACGTGCATTCTACTCGTTTTTTTTTTTTTTTTTTTTTTTCTAAAAAATTCCTTAATTTGGTTCTAGTGTCACTTGGGTGGCAAAACTTTAAAATGCGATAATTCAGTATCCAAACTTTTAAAATGTGATAATCTAGAACTTGTCGTTAACTGGCTGTTAATCAGCCCTTAAGTAACATTTAAAAAAGACAAATGCCCTTCAAGTGTGATTTCATTTTCTTTATCAATCATCTAAACGTTTACAAAAAATTAACAGTCCTAAACCTTTGCCTTTTTCATTCAAGAAAGTTGGGGTCACCTTTGAGTGGGCATTCTGGTAACCCCAACTTTCTTGAATAGAAGAGACAAGGATTTGAGACGGTTAATTTTTTGTCAATGTTTGGATAGCTGGTAAAGAAAATTAGATGACACTTGAAGGGCATTTATGTCTTTTTCAAATGCCACTTAATAGCTGGTTAATAGCTAGTTAACAACATGTAATGGATTGTCATGTTTTGAAAGTTTGGATATTGAATTGTTGCATTTTAAAGTTTGGGGACCAAAGTGAAACTAGACCCAAAGTATAGGGTACTAATCGAGAATTTTCCCTTTTATTTTAATTTTTTAATTTTCCTCTTTAGCTATCTCCCTCTTCGCGTGATTCTACACGGTTTTAAATCAAAAGTGAAATCAATCAACTAGGTCATCATAACCGTCCATTTGGTAGATTACACGAATTCATTGCCCTTATCTATCTGTTAAAAAACTAGACATGTAACAAAACTTAGTAATAATTGACGTGTCTACTTCTGATTGGTTGTTCCTTATTTCCTTGGACTCTTGAGGAAGAAGACTCTGGGCTTGTTCGTTTTTTCTTTACGCTTACCTCTTAAGAAGAATCTTGCAACTTTAAGGCTATGTTTGGTTTGAAGGAAAATGTAGGGAAAGGAAGGTGATGCTGCTCAATCCGAGGTGGTGCATGAACCGAGGAGGGCAATCAGATAGTCCTTGCTGGAAGGGTGGGGCTGAGCTACAAGGACGAAGCCGCGCTTCAAGACCTATGATCAAGGAAACATAAGTCAGAGGCCCGAGGAGTTATCCCCAGGTAAAAACTCCGACGGTTAAGTTAGTAGGAGGTGATAGGAACTCCGACATCTTAATCCAGTGATTAAGATGTCATCAACATAAACCAAAATAAATATGGAGACCTTACTCTCTCTATATATGAATAAGGATGGATCAGCCTAGGAGCAGTAAAAACCAAGACTAAGGAGAGCATAACTCAGTCGAGAGAACCAAGCTTGTGGAGCTTGTCGCAGTCCATATAATGCTTTGCGAAGTTTACAGACATGAGTGGGCTTCGAAGGATCTTCAAATCCCTTAGGTTTCCGTACATAGATGTCCTCAAAAACAAATCCATTCAGAAAGGCATTGTTAACATTGAGCTGTCGGATATTCCACCCAAAGGAGATAGCCAAGGCAATGACTGTACGGATTGTAATTGGTTTAACCACAGGATTGAAGGTATTAGAAAAGTCAAGACCTGGTACTTGTCTAAAACCTTGCGCCACTAGGCAAACTTTGTGACATTCAATAGAGCCATTGGATTTACGTTTGATTTTGTAAATCCATTTTGTGCCGATTACATTCATACTGGGATGATACAAAACAAATTCCCAAGTAGCATTGTCCATGAGAGCTCAGTATTCCTGTTGCATAGCATGCTGCCAGAGTGGATGCTTGGCCGCACTAGAGTATGTGACTGGTTCACACTGCTCCGGTGTGATATCAACAAGAAGGGCTGCCAGAATAGGATACCTGGTAGTGGCCGTCGCAAGAGATGCAGTGGAGCTCATCGATTTGGTGACCATGGTATGAGTTCGTTGTGGAGGCGGAGGTGCAACAGGAGTAGCATCAAGAAGCTCTTGAATTAGTCTGGTTCGACGAGGCGGCTCAGAGACAGATGATGGAACATCGCTGGGAGTAGACTCAATTGATGGAGTAGGAGTAGCGGGGGTCTTTGAAGGCACCGAGGGTGGTCGTTGGCAATCTGATGAGGGAGAGGAGACATCACCGGATGAAGAAGAGAGGCCAAGTGGTGGTGGAGCTGCGACTTGTAGGTTTGATGGACTTGTAACTGGATCGATGGAGGTACCTGAAGAAGACTGGTACGATCAGTACTATATTGGTTAATTGGGGAGAGTTGCATACCAGGAAACCGAGATTCATCAAAGATGAAATGCCGACTGATGTATTCATGTCCACTGGTAGGACGCCAACACCTGTAACCGTTATGAGCTATACTATATCCCAAAAAAATACACTATTGTGACCAAAATTCAAACTTGTGGCGATTATAGGGTCGAAGAAGAGGATAACAGGCACAACCAAAAAATTTTGAGAAATGTGTAATCTGGGGTTCTTTGAAACAGTACCTCATATGGAGAACGATTACAAAGTGTCAGAGTGGGAAGACGATCGATCAGGTACACTGCCATATGTGCGGCGTCAGTCAAGAAGGAAAACAAGAGAGAGGCGGAAGCCAGTAGAGATAAGGCGGACTCAACAATGTGTCGGTGCTTCCTTTCAACTGTACCATTTTGTTCATGAGTGTGTGGGCACGCTAGTTGGTGATGAATCCCTTCAGTGTCGAGATACTGTGAGAGAGAGCAAAATTCCCCTCCCTAGTCAGATTGAAAGATTTTTATTTTTGTGGGCAGCAAACATTCCACATGCCGTTTGAAGCTTAGAAAAGCATCCATAACTTCAGATTTCTTTTTGAGTGGGTACAACCAAGTAAATTTTGAAAAACTATCCACAAAAATAACATAATATTTGAAACCTGTAATAGAAATAGTTGGGGCTAGTCTCCATACATTAGAATAAACGACTTCTAAAGGATGTGTTGTAGTAAATTGTGAAATTGGAAGATGCTATCCATGATTCTTACCCATTTGACATGACTCACACACAATACTACTAGTACGACTCTGACAAGGTAAACCAAATTTGGAGATAACCTGACTCACTACTTTGAATGTAGCATGACCTAGTCATTGATGCCATCCTGAAAAGGTAGTGCATTCTCCAACGAAGGCAATTGCTTTATTGTTGACTTGAGTCCCTCTAGGAAATTGATATAGTCCATCTCTATTGGTTCCTCTGATGAGAACTCTCCCCGTATAATCATTCACAAGAAAGAAATCACGATGGAACTCAAGATAAATATCATTATCTTTAGTAAACTTGCTCACAGAAAGCAGATTCTTGGTGATGTGTGGAACATGATAAATAGAGTTGAGAGCAAATGTATGATTATTATGTGTCAATGATGAAGATCTGGAATGTAAAATTTGTAAGCCTGATCCATTACCAATTGCAACCTGATCCAAACCCATGTACTCGGACCGATTCTGTAGATTGTCTACATCTGGAGTGAGATGATGAGTGACGCCAGAATCTAGATACCACATGGGATCAACTTCATTCCCAACACTTGTGTGATACGCAACAGTGTCTGGGGGAGTCTGTTGTTCTCCTTGATACGATAAGTCATAATGCCTCCTACAGGTAAAAGCATCATGGCTTGGTTTGTTGCAGACGTAGTAGATGATTTGGGAAAAATTACCTTTCCAACAGCCACCACCATTATTTCTACCGCCATTATACTGATTAGGATAATCACCATGGTTGCGACCACTACTGTGACCTCTACCATTACTGGGAGCAGAACCACCTCTGCGGTTTGTATTTTTGGAGTTCCAATTATTTTTATTTTTGTCATGTGCAACAAAATTTGCTGAATGAGGGTTATTAGTGGCGGGGCTGGTTGTGTTGTTCCAACCATGCCTCATGATTTAAGAGAAGTCCCAATATATCATTAATAGTAAGAAAATCAAAATCAGTCCTATTGGTGATCATAGTGACTATGGACTCATACTCAATCCCAAGTCCAAAAAGAATGCACAATATAAGGTTTTCTTTGCCTACCGGTTCAGAAGTAGCTGCTAGACTGTCGGCAATTACCTTGGCTCTTTTGACATACTCAGTTATTGATTCTGACCCTTTTTTGATGTTTTGCAGCCGTCGTTTCAGATGGAGGGCTCTCGACCTTGAGATGGTGGAGTAGGTGGCAAATAAGGCCTTCTAGACTTTGGCTGATGTGGTTAAGCCGATCACTTCAGTCACCACACTCTTAGTGAGAGAAGAGATGATTCACCCGAGCACAAGTTGATCTAGCTGCACCTAGTTATCATATTTTGGGTTCATCACTCTTTGTCCATTAGGGCCATCGATGTGGGTTGGAGGAGCTTGCATGGTTCCTTCTACGAGGCCCAACAACTTGTGAGTTCTAAGGACTAGAATCATCTACGCCCGCCAAGGTAAGTAGTTGTCGTGACTTAGCTGAGTGCACACCGTTTTGAGTGCACGCGATTGAGAGATGTTGGGGACGTTGATCACTGGTGTTCCCAACACAGAACTCATGAACTGATTGGAGCTTCCTGTGCTTGAGCTTGCTGCTGAGTGCACACCGTTGTGAGCCATAGCTCTGATACCAAGTTAGGAAAATAGAAGAACTGAAAAAACAAGAAAATAATTGAAGAATAATGTCGATGGTGTTTGTGATACTATCAGGCGTATGGTATTTATAGATGGGATGTTTACATTAGAGTGGAGTTCTACAAGAATTGAGAGATTGTACAGACAAGAGGATAATCACAAGATAGATGAGTTATAGTAGGATTAGGATAGAGATTATCCTAGGAGGATAGATTTGGATCTCCAGAGGACTCTTGGTTCTCATTACCCTTAACATTCTTCAATGACCATTTTGGGGAGAAGAACTATTTCTTTAAGCAATAAATAGTAAGGATTTCATGAAATAGAAAAACAAATTCAATTTCTGAAGCTGGGGTAAAAATTAGTGAAAAGGGTTTTAGTTATTTGTGAAACCCTGAAGGTCTGGTTGATTTATCCCAATTAAGTAGTTGCTTGCATTCACTTTCTCTATCTGATATGTTCTATCTAGCTTCTTTTTCCAATAAGAATATGAGAAATGCTTACTTATCCAAACAAAGTAGGATCCATGAAAGATATATATATATATATATATATATATAGAGCTTGAGAGGAGTAATCAATTGGTAATTGCTGCTTTGAGTGTGTGTAGTGCAACCAATTACCAGGTTACAGGTTAACGTTGTTGTTCCAAACTGGGACAGTCTAGTAGGATGGTCAGCTGCAACTCCTCACCAAGAGGTGTATTTGTCAGAGGAGTAGTGTAAACACACGGTTCGAAACCATTTTAATCTGGCAAAGGGATTGGACATAAGATAGGTCCCAATCAGAAACCTGAATATGCTATGCTATATGCAGACAAGTTGTATATATATAAGCTCAGACACATGTACTTACTACGTCGCTGTTGCTTGAATCTATAAGCTTTCTTCCTATTTAGAATCTTTTCAGTAATGGGAAAATCTATGCTGCCGGAAAGACACCATACCCGGCCCCCGGGTGAAATTTTTATAAAATACCATACCGGTTGATGGAAATCATTGGATAGATATTTTTTCGGTTTGATATCTTTCTAATATGATAGTCGAACCCTTGTTTAATAGGTGACTTTAAAAGTTAGGCTTATATAATATATTTTATAATTTATATAAATGTAGAAATTATGTATAATAATATAATATATAGTATCATATAATATAAAGTTGAAAATGAGAGTTGGGATCTCCAACCTACAAAACCATTTCAAAAACTGTGTACATCCAATTGCATATTAATAACATCTTCAATACATGTAAAGTTTATGGGGGAAATGTGCATATAATATATATGAGATGTGCAGACACAAATCATGTTAGAGTTGTTTTCGTTTAGATTAAATATAAACCCTGAAAATGAGTACCCCTATCATAAAGTTTGAAGCCCCTACCTGAAAACCATCTTCAAAGAGCACCGAAAGTGACCCTAGCCCGCCCCAGTTACCTCAAGATTTAATAAGAACGCTTTGGCTGTTTAGTGGGCTATAAAATCAATGCATGAGATTTCACCTTTTTACAGTGAGACCCATCAATTTATTTACTAATGTGAAAATTCATCATCGATTTCGCAGCTCGCCAAACAACCAAAATGTTCAACTAATGATGATTCGATCAACTTTTCGAATTATAGTAATTTGATCATTTGATGGTGTAACGAGTAGTTGAGTTGAACCGGTTGAATTTTTACCAAGGTTTTAAAAATCATGTTGGAAATCGAATCGTTCTAGCTATTGATTTATGGGTCAGCGGGTCAACTGTCCAGGTCGAACAGTTCAAACGGTTTGCATATAAGGGCAAATGTTTATATGAGATTTGCCCTAATATACAAACCTCATAAGAGATGTCGGCTAAGAAAGCTAGAGAGAAGGAGGGAAGAATGAGGATGATTAGATGCTCATCAGTGATCTGAGATCTGAGTTCCCAGATTTCAGTTCATGTATTCTTCTTCTTCTTCATCTTCTTCTTCTTCTCTTTGTGCTACATCCTAGATTTCAGTTCATGTTTCAGACTGGACCTCAAATCTGAATCATCTGAGTTCTCTTAGCAATTTTATATTGCAAATCGTTGGTTGAATTAAACGAGTCAACGATTCAATAGCCCAAGTCAACAGTTTTCTGACAAAATCAACGGGTTTTGACCCAATAACAGAACCATTAGTCTAAACGATTTCCAGGCAGAACGATCCGACCATCTACTTCAACCACGGTTCAAAAACATTGATTTGTAATGCATATAGAATTCAATTGAGCTAGATGTTTAGACAGCAGAACATACACGAGAACAAACAAACAAGATATTGGAAAGATTTGACAGGCAGCAGTCACGTCTGATTTGAAGGATTTGACGGATGCGTACAAAAAGTCCCATCCTTTGATGATGGTTAAAAGCAAACAGAATGAAAACATCCACAAGGCATTACAATGGCCCTCTCTCTCCACCAAATTTGCCTATCACAATCACACCTGGGGCTCAGTTTGGAGAGAGTATAAATATAAATAAGTACAGTATAAATATATAGAAACGTGATGAGCACAGCAACCGTTGATCATTTCTTGGGTACCTTGCAACAGAATTCACCACTACTCTTTTAACTTTTGAGCTCGGCTAGTCTCAAGCTCTGATGATGGAGGGTTGGAACCATCTTACTTTCGAGCTTGTAGCTATTTGATATCTTGGCAATGGAACCGAATATCATCTTATTAAAAGAGCAAACGGATGTATGGTTCTTCAGACAAGTTTCATTTTCCTTGTACGGAGTTTGCTCCATTTTGATTGATTAATCAAATTTCCAACCCATTACATCTCTCACCTTCCAAGCCATCTTTGAAACCAAAACTAGCAACAGTACAAAACCCACTTGAACCCAATGAAATAATAAGAATTACAACATAATTTAATTAATTAATATCACTTTTCTATTTCTAGGATCATCTTCTATTGCAAAAAACTCCAATTGAAAATTTGCTTCCTTGTTATCAGAAAAAAAAAAAAAACTCCAATGAAAATTTTGCTTCCTTGTTATCAGAAAAAAAAACTCCAATGAAAAATTTGCTTCCTTATTATCAGAAAAAAACTCCAATGGAAAATTTGCTTCATTGTTATCAGGAAAAAAAAACCTCCAATGGAAAATCAATTTAGCTTTTACCTAGACCTTTGTTGTTCTACTAAAACAAAGAAGTGATGAAACACAGTGAATTCCGCCCACAAGACAGATGGCTTTGCAAGGGGACAATCACTGCTCTTAACTGGTTTTTAAAATGAGGATGGCTTTTGGTTCTTTTATGAAGGCTTTGATTCTTTGTTCTCCTCTGCCATTAATGGCCGCTTTTTTTTTCTTTGAAGAAATGGAGACAAACAAAAGGCTTTACCGTAGGGAATGTGGATTAGTTGCACTTGATGGCCATGTTATATGGCTGTGTTAAGGGCTTATAATAACACCCCACCTCAGCCATGAAATATATATGCTCCACAACCATTCTGAGACAAGATAATTAATCTGGAGTTCACATTTGCGCTTCAGCCATGAAATATATATGTCCCTACTGGCCTATGTAACCTCACGGTAGGAAGTTAGGAACATCTCCTTGTAATTCAATTCAAGGGGGGAGATGTTCCTTATGTACGGCTGCAGTGGTTGGTTGGAACATTGTTGGCACTGTATCCGAATTCCTCCCAACTGCCAAAGTTTTCTCACCTCTCACATAGCAAAGCATGCATGGCTGTTACTGTTTTTGTCCGTGACAAAGTATCCCAGTACACGTGTATTCTCATGCCTGAGTATATATATATGATTATATATGTACACCATTCGGTCCACTCCAGCAACTGAGAGACACCTGTCACGCCCTTATGAAATTGCAAGAAAAATGCGGGGGGAAACAGTATAGGAGGAGATCCGAAGGCTTTGTTGAAAGCTAAACAGGTATTAGAAAGAAAGCTTTTATTACAGGGTGATGATACAAAAGAGAGGGAGAAAATCCTACAGAAATAAAGTTATCCTCCAAGAGATAACCAGACTAAGGAGAAAGAAAGGAGAAATATATATGTATAAGAAAAAAAGAAAACAATTCTAAGACAAGCTAGGAGCAAGAAGGTTCATCATCAGGCGTATCGTTGTCCTTTCGAGTTTTGATATCCACAATTCATCAACTGGGTCTTCTCCTCCAAACTTGTACATTCAATCAAGGATTGAATATCATGTCCCCGCATTTGCACTTCCAACTCATGGGCTTGTAGTTGGAGCTATCTTCCCGCCTGGAAGAGGCTGCTATGGTGTAGTCCTTTGAGGAATGTCTACTGGTACTACTTCTGTATTGCGGGGCTACTGGAACCTGAACTGCTTCGCAGTGTCCACACGAACTGCACCTCCTCTCGCATCTTGGAGGCCTTGATCCAATCTGAGCTCTAACACTCGCCTTCTCTTCACTGCTCATCTGTATTACAGTAAATGATAAATAGAGAAGCCCCGCCATTGTTAATAACAATTCAAACAATTCAACAATAGGAAGAAAACAAGAAAAGATGGGACATCTATCGATGATCAATTCACCTTGGTACCTTCAACCGGAATAAAAATCGCTCTGCCTGCAATTAATACAAAAGTGTGGTAACTGTTAAAACTTCGATTTGCACAAAATGAGGCCTAGATGTTGTTTCAACATTTTGAGAGCCACCTACCAACCTTCAACCATGAATCTCAACTGGGTCGAGGTCGAAACCAGGAAAAAGAGCAGGGAAATGAGAAGATGACGATATCTGTGGCTAGAAGCGCAATTATGACTACAACCCATTTCTGAATTCTGACCGATTGAATTGAATGAAAGACAAAAGGAGAGGAGGATAAAAGAGTATCGCTTGTTGAGATATCCTTTTAACAAGGAGATATGGGACGTGGAGAGCTGCAAGAGAGTGTGACCAACTGTGTAATCATGGGTGCGTGCTTGTGACAAGATCGAGTGAGTTATGGGAGAGAGCTGAGGATGAGGAATTGAATGCCACTATAACGCCCATAGGAGCTCTGTCTATCTTCGTCCCCTCTGTAGTTGAGACAATGGAACGTCGATGGACAAAGGAGTATTGCAGAAGCCTAAAAGATTTAGAAGGAACGAAAAGTACCCCTGAAAACGGAAGAACCTCAGCCTCGGTCAGTGAGCCCCCAAGCGATGAATATTGAAAACTAATTATAGACAGAGTAGGGGGACTGAAAGAGCGAAAAAATAGAAAAGGACCCAAACCCAAACCCCCCAAAGAAACCAGAAAAACCACAGAAACGCAGGGGAGAGAAAGGCTCTCCCACACATAAGGACATGAGATCACAGCTGTGGTTTTGGGATTTCGTTTTCCTACCTCTTTCCCCACTTTGCCTTCAATTGTGTTTTCTTGTAGTGGTTGGTCTGAGCAGTCCCACACCCACCTGAACACGCCAAACCCATTATCTACACTACATCTAACTCCCTCTCTCTCTCTCTCTCTCTCTCTCTCTCTCTCTCTCTCTCTCCCTCTCTGTCTGTGTGTATGTGATGGGCTGGCTGATGGAGAAGAAGGAAAAGAAATGCATGCGCATTTTTTTAGTTTAGACCACTCGTATATCTCACCGTCTCTTGGTCTTGGATTGTGCAATGGCATACCAAGAGTACACAAAAATCTTTTCAGTTCGTATTTATTATTAATTATTACTTGCATTATTACTAAATCTCTCCTCCCCTTCCGATAAGAAACAAACAGTAATTTATTATTTTCCCGAGGAAGATTGTAGCGCGAGGGAAGGTGTCAAGCAGAGAAAAATTGCTTTTTATGAGCATAAATGGAAGCTGCAACACCTGAAGGACTGAAGCCTGAAGGTGGTGGCAGCTGTTTTACCTGCTAACTCACGCAATCTCATGTGGAAGCGAGCCCCTCTTGATCCTTCGTGTTGTAAGAAGAAAACAGAGGGGGAGTTAAGAGAGCAAACCGTTAAGTGTTCTTTTTTCCTATGGGCTGTTATTAGAAAGTGATCTGAGATTTGTCAAATACGAATTTTTACTGCTAGAAATGGAAATCAGGACCGAGTAAGTTATATTGCCAAAAGGACTATTAACAATGACGTCGTGTCCCTTCCCGTGTATTTTGTTTGGGAGAGTGTTTGTAAACTTGCTTTCTGTCTCAGATTTATGCTTTTAAGAAAGAAGAAAACAGAACAAAATAAAAAGATGCTAATCTGATTTTTCAGGTTACTAATCTATTTATTTAGGGTGGGCCCCCTATTTCAAGTGACCTGTCCATCAACTCGCAAGTCGCAACACTTGGGTCTGGGTGATGCTTTTGCATTGCAACCATCGAGGAGGAGTTAGTTCATTTCTTCTGAGCATCTCCGTATCGTATTCACCATTCTGATTCAGAAAAAATGGGAGTTTAAAAGGAGGAGTAGCAGCAGAGACTCAAAACGCTCTTCCCGTCTTCTCTGTGTCACGCTTCTGAATATCTCTCAGGTGATGGCCTCCCTCTAAATCACCCTGCCTGCCTGCTAGGCGCTAGCTGCACGATATCTGCAGTGCCTTCTCCATACTAATATAACTATATATCGATCCACACAATAAAACGGGAAATGAGCTAAGCTCAGTAGTAGCTGTGCGCATTCAAAACTTTCTTTCCCTCTTTTCTTGGGTCGCCTCAAATGTCAAATATCCATTTGAGGGCTTTGGATAAAGCATCTCAGGCTCGGTTGGTGCATTAGAAAACGGACATGGGTGATGGGACAGGCCCCATCTGGGTTACCAGGAGAAAGGCTAAAACCCCATGAAATTACGGTTACGGCCTTCAATTTCAATGCATTGCAGCCATTGTTGTGGCCTCTTTGATAATCCAATTCTCCTGGAACTTTAAAGGCTCAGAGCAGCTACTGCAATTTGCAGGTTGCTTGGCTTAGTAATTTAAGGGGTCAGAGCTACTGCAATGTGAAGATTGTGAATTTGTGATCAAAAGTTTAAAACATCCAATTTTTGGGTTGCCACAATTCGCTGGTCCAATGACATTGTGACAATTCAAGTCTGTTAAAGGTGACATAGTTAATGACAGGTTGAAGTTAAATTGAGAAGTAAGGAATTAATTAAAAATACAGGAGATAAAGTTGGAAACTGACGCAAGACAAGGAACTCTCTTCTCCCCAAGTGTCCAAGTCCCAACGTTCTCTCGCCCATTTTAGCCTCTCACTGGATTACAGTGTTTATCCTCCACAGTCCTCACGTAAAAGGGATGGCGAAAGACGATTCATGTAATCATGTAGACACTTCCATATAAGCTGGGATAAGGCTTTGATGATGATGATGATTCCCACACAATGGAGGGAGTCAAGGGATAATGTCATGGATCCTGGAAGATGATTACTACTGTCATCTATTCTCCCTATGAGCATTCTCAATTTTGGTATCTCTGAAGGTTCCCACGAAGTAGAGGATTTGTGTTCATTCTAGCTCAAGGATAAACAAAGCAGAACAACAGGTTAAAACCCAAGACTAACAAATCCCGCCTTTTTTGACCACAGAAAATCTGCACGCGCGTTCAAAAGATAAAGATCAGAAGGTTGAACTACCATGGGCTCTGGGTTTCTTAAAGCAACAATGGTCAAAAGTTAATTTGAACAATCTAAGCCAGATATTAAGGCACAAAATGGCTCATGGTTTAGATTTTAGAATAGATTGAAACTATTTCTTCCATTCTTCCTTCTCTTTTCTTTATTTTTTTTAATGAACAGATTGAAACTCACCGTTAAATAAATACAGGCCTTTTTGCTTTCAGGTTTTCCTAAAGACTCCAAATTTGATAGACTGAGTTGTCGCGGTCTCATTGGGCCAGTAGAGGATTCTCTCCTCATTGGCCCGAAAAGGATTACAGACAAAGTAAGGGACCATCAAAGGACGTGTTTTGTCTAGGCAACGTCTACACGAGAGTCCAACCATGTACGTAGGGCGACGAATTCCAAAAGCTGCACCTGCACATAGAGATGTTTGCTGGAATTCTTGTAAAACATTCCCCTTTTCTGAAACTACCACGTGGATTTGCACTATACAAGGAATAATAATATAAATCTCCTCACTGTTTCTTGTTCTTACATTTAAAAAAGAATGAAGGATAGTGGATACATTTATACCTCGATTTTGCAATGAAATTGCTGTTAGAAATAAACAAGAGGAGATTTTTTAATGTTACAGGAGAAAATTATCAATAACATGGGATATCACATCGGCACCATCAGAATTGACGCAATAAGTGTTCACCTGTACAAGAGATGAAGAAGAGAGGAGAAATGTCAGCAACGTTAGCATCCTCACTAATTCACAAAAACATTGAGTGACTAAGACGTCAAGTTGTAGTACTAACCATTGACTAATAAACACTACCATGACTACAGGTTTAGAACTCTCTGCAGAAGTAGTATGCATGGATCATATCCATTTTTCAAGTGTAAATGGCCATAATTTATCACTTGGAATTTAAAAATGGAGAAAATCCACTCACCAGGAACAACTACATAAAACACCCAATCCTAAGGGCTGCATGGGTCAGGTTGTGCTCCACTCTATTTGAGTTAGGTTGGGCTCGTTCTAGTTGTGTTTACTATAGGAAGTGATTGTGTAAATAATAATTTAAATTTCGGGTGGTTTCTATGGGTCAGACTTGCAACTTCTTCCATTCAATACAGAATTCCTATTACTAGGCGAATCCCTTCTGCTGTATATCCTTCCATGTCCAAGCATATATCTTAATGTTCGCAGAAGAAAAGCCAAAATATTAGGCCGATGCTTGGTGCATTTAAAACTTTTGGGCCGACAAACATGAATGAGTTCAAATTTGAGAGTGGTAAAATACCAGAGGTTAGGTATTTATCAAGTACACCCCCTCCCAACACCCCAGGTAGCTGGGACCAACACTGGGTGGCAAAGCCAAACATAAGGTGAGGTTTGGGTTGGGTTTCATCACTGTCAGCCAGAGGATTTTGACACTAATCAATCTGCTGCATGGAGAATCTAATCCAATTCGAACCCAATATAAAGTTCATCAAGTCTTGATCCATGTTGCATGTCTGTCCAGCTCCAATGGAGTGTCCAAGCCCAGAAGGATATGATGATACCTTATTTATTTTTTCTGAAAAAAGTAATACACTAACCACCCCTGACATAGATTTTTGAAAATGTGCATCCATGCAAAAATGTTGCATCCAAAGTTACCACCACATTGGCTAAAAGAAGGGACTCGGAACCAACCATTAACTAAAACTTAGAAAGTAAAATATGAAAATGTATTCTAGTTTATATAAACCAACCATGTTACTTAGTAACCAGGTCTCTTTTTGATAGCGGCTACGATGCTCTTGCTACTTTGGTTTTCCTTTGGAAGCAATTGTATCATAGTTTTTTTTTCTTTTATTTTTAAACCCTAAAATGTACTCCAGGTGGAGGGGCAGCCACCTTAGAATTTTATTGATCACCCATTACCAAAAGGAAAGTGAATTGCAGTTAAATACCATGTAGTTCAGAGGTGGGTCAAGCTTCAAGAAATTTCAGTCATAGGAAATAATTATCAACTCCAATTTGTTGGAGATTCTGACACCTATACAAAACCAGTTATTTTGACATATGCAATGAGATTAAAATAAGAATGCATACTTGCCTGAATGGTACCGTGTGCAAGAAATCTCTGTTTACTTCTTTTGAAACTAACATCGACTCGTTCCCAACTCACTTTTGTGAGACCCCTAATCATTGCCTCTACAGTTGTTGCAAATAAACAAAAACTGAGACTCTGTTCTGAGGTTGCATACTTCCCATGTATAAAAATCTTAGTATGGTTTGTTACAGAAGATATGAATAGCATGGGTTCAGTCCAATGAAGCAAATAACTAATTTCAATCATAAATATGCATAGAGGAGCAACCAAGGGGTTTATTTTGAAACTAATTTGCTTTAATAACAGATTTTAATATTAAGGACAAATATAGTAACAAACCTTCCATGTTAATAGTCTTGTGTTCATTAACATTGGCCTCGAAAATGGCTTCTTTCTCAGTACTGGAAATTTTTGGTGCTTCAACATTTACTATATGTGGATATTTCTCATTCTTTGGAGGATGCTTGCACTAAAAGAAAAATATAATGAGTAAGCAGACACAAACATATTTAAGAACCTCAATAGAAGCTGAAAGTATACCTTTGGTAGCTCAACTTTTCGGCGTATTGATGATGTACTCCACCCAACAAGGCCTTTGAACAGAGTTAAGCAATTTACAAAGCCAAGTTGCACTAGATTTACATGAAAACGGTGGATCAATACAACTAGATGGTCAAATCCATCTACCACATGAATCATGATAGTGAACCATGCTTGCATGTCTGGCCAAAGTATTTTAATTAAATGGATATAAAAATTACCAAACATATTTTCTAAATTAGGATACAATCAAAACATGTATTTGAATAAGCAACACAACGCCTAAATGATTGCAGAGCAGACCTGAAGAATGAAAAGAAAAAAAAGAGATGATGCTTATAGAGTATGGTTGAGAAATTCACACAGGAAATAAATTTAGAAAATTTTCAAAACAAATATTAATGACCCATGATGCCTCACATGAATGGAAGATCTCCATAATCATTGACCATTTGAAGAAGGAGAGGAGGCTTTCCATTCTCACTGTCAGTCAGGAAGAGATGTTTTCCAGTTCTCCTTAGAATCCATGACATATGAGATGCTGTTTTTTCCATAATATAAAGACCACAAAATAGTGGAACCTGCAAAACAAACAAATAAACAAGAAATGAATAAAGTCATCCTTGATAATAGTTCATCATCATCATCCAAACCTTATCCCAACTATATGGGGTCAGATACATGAATCCTGTTTTKCCATTCCGTTCAACCTTGATAATAGTTGAAGATTAAAAAATTAAGTACCAACATTCAAAATAACCAAAAGAACAGGGGATTCTGTTCCTAATCCTTTTTACTACTTTTACTACTTCATTTTTAAAGTAATGATACATAATATAGCATATTTGGCAGAACTTTTTGTCAATCAATATTTGCCTTATTATGAAATTGCTTAAAGCTGCTGCCAATATATTCGGCCAAACTTTCCTTTGATTATCTTTCTATTATGGTATTACCCAAGCTCTTTATGAGTATTCCAACAAACAGCTCTGGGCATAAAAGTTTGTTTATTCTGGTTATTTTATTCAGTTTATTTTCTCCAGTTCTGTTTTAGAACAACTTAGTTTTTTATTCTGTTTATGTACTGTAAGTACTGCAGGGGCATAAAAGTCCTTTCCCCATCTTTTAAGTGTCGCCCTATATAATATAATATAATATATTCTGGCACTGCCAGAACCGATTTGACTCCCAATCACTTTCTCTCCTCTCCTCTCTCTCCTTTCTTCTTCCCCCTTATTTCTTTTGTATTTTTCTGCTAATATGGTATCAGAGCGGTGCTACTGGGTTTAAGAGCAGATTGAACAAGTGTTTTTTTTTGTTTTTCTTCTTGCTGTTTTTTCCAGATTGAGGTCAGAAAAAGATAACCTACGACTGATACTTTTTTTTACTTCCTTCTTCTTTCTCTTGGTCGTGTACCAAGAAAAAAAATCATATGGATTAAGACTGCTGCATGCTGCCAGAGTGGCTGTGAGGTTCAAACCTCTTTTCTGTGGGTTGTGTGATCCTGTGCCTGAGAATGAAACATCTGTAGGTCTCGTATGACCTGATTTTACCCTCTTTTGGTGCAATGACACTATTGTATGATCTCTCTTGATAGCTGGTGCATTTGGTTGGTCTGGAAGAGTGGTGGACTGTGACTGTTAAACCTGTACAGCATTGAAATCAACCTAATTTTTTTTTTTTAAGGGACTTGGAGGTGGTCTGTGTTCAGACTGTGCCCAGACTGGAGTGTGTGCATCTTTGGTGTGTTTCTAGGACTGTTTTTCGGTGTCAAGAGGGATCTTAGGGTGTGTGTTGAGGCTGAATAGTGAACTGAACCATGTCCTTTGAGAATTCTGCAACTTCTGGAGTTTCTGGAGGCAAAACAGCATGAGTGGGGAGCTGGATATGAATTTCCACATGGCTGTAATTCCCTTTTGACGGGCTAAATTACCTTGAGTGGTCTAGGGGAATTAAACTCTACATAATTGCTAGGGGGAAAATAGGGTATATCAATGGTAGAGTGAAGGAACCAAAGACTGGAAGTGCTGAACATGACAGGTGGAACCAAGAAAATAGTTTGGTGATGTTGTGGCTCTAGGTTTCTATGCTACCACAAGTAAAGAAGACATTCATATGGGCCGAAACAGCTTGTGAAATTTGGGAGCAAGCAAAATCTACATATTCGGAATAGAGGCACTATGCAAAGATATACCAATTGCAAGTTGAATCCTTCACTTGCAAGCAGGGGGAGAGAAGTCTCTCAGTGCATTACTCAGATTTGACATCAATATGGAAAAACTGGATCATTATCAGAATGTGAATTGGAAATGTGATGAAGGTGCAAAGGCCTACAAATCACTTGTCTCCCAAGATCGAGTATTTGCTTTTCTTTTGGGGCTGAACCCTATCTATGAGTCTATCAAGGTACAAATCTTGGGAAGTAAGGACTTACCTTCAGTCCAGGAGGTTTATGCATTAGTTCAGTCTGAAGAAAGTAGAAGAAGTGTAATGAATTGTACAGAGGGGGAGCCAGTTGCATTGGTAGTCCGAGGAGGTACTAGCGGAAACGGTAGAGGTTCTTTTAAGAAGGGTGATATGCAAAAGTGAGTGGTTGACAAAGATAAACTTTGGTGCACCCATTGTCAAAAGTCCAGGCAAACTAGAGACACATGTTGGAATCTCCATGGGAAGCCTAAGTGGGTTCAAGATTTAAGTAAGAAATCAACATCTAATCAGAATAAGAAGTCAACTCAGCAAACTTAGAAGAATATAACTCAACAAATGTGGCATCTCAGGAGACTAGTCCCATGATGCCTCAAGAGCGGCCCCCCCTTGGTTCTGATCCAAAGGAAGAGATTATCAATTCTTTTCGTGACCATTTGGAATCATATGGTAGGACACTTCGCCAGATGGATTCTAGCCCTACTCCTTCTACCTCCTCTGCATCTACATTAGGTAACTTTGCCATTGCTTTCCATGTGTCATCTCATATATCTGTTTCCCCTTAGATAATTAACTCTGGAGCTTCAAATCACATGATTGGTTAGTCAAACTTATTTCAAACATATAACCTCTTCTCTGGGAGAGATAAGGTGAGACTGGCTGATGGGTCATTCTCTACCATAGCCGGTCAAGGAACCATCTCCTTTCCTCTCGGTCTTACCCTCTCTAATGTGTTATATGTTCCAAAATTACCTATCAATTAACTTTCCATTAGTAGTACTACTCACTCTTTGAACTATTCAGTAGCTTTCTTCCCTTTTTCTTGTGTGTTTCAAGATTTGACCTTTGGGAGGACAATTGGTAGAGGAAGCATGGTGGATGGTTTCTATGTGTTGGAGAATAAACCCGGTCTTATGGCTACAAAGTCTTTGAGTTCGGCTTGTGAGAGTCACGCCTACTTATGGCAAAGTCGTCTTGGTCATCTTTCTTTTGAGTCATTAAAGCTTATGTTTCCAGAGTTATTTAAGTCTTTGTCAGTTAAAGAGTTACATTGTTAGATATGTCAATTGAGTAAACACTGTAGAAGTTCTTTTCCTTTAAGAAATAAAAGATCTAAATTTCCTTTTCATATTATGTACTCCGATGTTTGGGGCCCTATTACTCTACCTTCTGAGAATGGATATAAGTATTTCATTACTTTGATTGATGACTACTCTAGATATACTTGGATTATCCTATGCGATCTAGAGATGAAATGCCAAAGATTGTGAAATATTTTCAGTGCGTGATTTTTACTCAGTTCCAGACTAAGATTCATATTTTCCAGTCAGACAACGCAAATGAGTACTTTCGTAGTGATCTCATAGAGTTCTTCGCTTTGTATGAATCTCTTCATCAGAGTTCTTGTACTAAGACACCTCAACAAAACGGTGTTGCTAAAAGAAAACATCATCATCTTCTTGAAGTTTCTTATGGATTACTACTCCATATGCATGTTCCAAAACGTTTTTGGATGGATGCCGTTATGTGTGCTGCATATATCATCAACTATATACCATCTCGGTTGCTAGAGTATAAGGCCCCACATCAACTATTGTTTCCTAAGGCTCCTTTGTCCCCTATTCCAATGCGTGTCTTTGGAAGTCGTTGCTTTGTTCATGACTTGTCCCCTAATCATGGTAAGCTTGATCCTCGTGCTATCCCTTGTGTTTTTCTTGGTTACCCTTTATCCCAAAAGGGCTACCGATGCTATGATCCTGTTTCACGCAAGTACTATGTCTCCATGGGTGTATCCTTCTTTAAGAGTCAACCTTTTTTTTTTTTTTTTTCAGTTTCTCCTCAGGGGGAGAGTAAGGTTGAGGAGAACACACCTAGGTTCAATTACCTCCTCTTCCTGATCCTCCTCCATTTTGTGTCTTCCTCTACCGCCACAAGAGCCAACAGAGTTCAAGAGCCATGGAACCTGACACTATGCGGCCAACATCATCAGACTCTTTAGAGGTAAATCCCTATCATCCAGGTATACTTGTTCCCATTGATATGCATGATCCACTTAATGTTGACCCTCTTGTTATTGATGATCATGATTAGAGATGGGAAATTGACCCATACTCGTGGGGCCCCGCCCCACCTTGATCGGGGGGGGGGGGGGTTACCACTGGTCGGGGTTCGGGAAAACCCTAAACTTTGGGGTCAGGGCGGTATTTGTCCACCTCGATCCGACTATATTATATAACATAATATAATTATTAATATATCTAACATATATTATATTATAGTATAGTATTATATATTATATTGTACTATATTATATTACATAATATAAAATAGCTCTAGGTAGATTTCAAAAAAAAATATTAAGTATACAAGTAAGAATCACTAGGGCAGGGTGGAGCAAAGTCGGGGATCCCCGTTCCCTACGGAGATGGGGATGGGGTTAGGATTTTTAGCCCCGTCGGGGTTTGGGCGGGGCGGAGAATTTGAATTCGGGGTCAGGTACAGGGCAGGCAAAACCCAACCCCACCCCGCCCCGCCCCGTTGCCATTCCTAATCATGATGTTCCTATTGCTAAGAGAAAGGGCGTAATATCTTGTACTACTAATCATCCTATCTCCTACTTTGTATCTTATGATCATATCTCACCTTCATATCGTGCGCTTCTTTCCTCCATTGATAGCATTTCTATTCCTAAGAAGGTGGTAGAAGCTTTATCCATACCTGAATGGACAAATGCAATGAGAAATTAATGCCTTGCACAAAAATGGCACTTGGGAGTTGGTGGATCCAAGGTTCAAAATATCGACACGGGCCGATACATATCGTTCCGACACCCCTCCGATACGCCCCTACAGTGGGTGTATCGAGGATCTGACTGGTCCAAGGGATGGAGGAGACCTAAACCGGCCCCCCTAAACTGGTTGCAAAAAAAAATATAAAAAATGGTATCAATTCGCCCGATACACCCATACCAGCGTATTGGGCATATCGATATTTTGAACCTTGGGTGGATCTTCCTGAAGGAAAAGAACCAGTGGGATGTAATTGGGTGTTCACAATGAAGCATAGGGCTGATGATGCGATAGAAAGGTACAAAGCCAGGTTGGTGGCAAAAGGGTTTACTCAGGTGTATGGAGTAGACTATGTAGAGACCTTTGCTCCAGTAGTCAAGATAAATTCTATCAAAATCCTCTTTTCATTGGTAGCTAATCTTGACTGGGAACTTCACCAATTGGATATTAAAAATGCATTCTTGAATGGTGACCTAGAGGAGGAGGTGTACATGATTCAACCTCTAGGCTTTTGTGCCAAAGGTAGTGAGGAGAAGGTGTGCAGATTAAAAAAAATCACTATATGGGTTGAAATAGTCACCTTGGGCCTGGTTTAGTAAATTTCACTTAGTTGTACAACAAATGGGGTTCAAATAATGCCAGTCAGATCATACTCTGTTTGTGAAGAAAGGCAAAGGAAAAATTGCATCTCTAATCGTGTACGTTGATGACATAGTAGTCACAGGTGATTGGAAAACTGAAATATTATACAGGAGTTGAAGAAATTCTTAGCCACTCAGTTTGAAGTGAAAGATCTAGGCCCCTTATGTTATTTCCTTGGGATTGAAGTTGCTTGCTCTCAAAAGGGCATCTTTATATCTTAAAGGAAATACGTACTAGATCTTTTAGAGGACACAAACAAGTTAGGAGTGAAGCCAATTGATTCACCTTCACCCATTGAACCTAATCATCAATTGGGTGACARTCAAGGGGAGGCTATGAAAGATGTGAAGAAGTTTCAGAGACTTGTAGGGAGACTCTTATATTTGTCTATGACCAGACCTGACATTGCCTATGTGGGTGTTCTTAGTCAGTTCATGCATAATCCTAAGATGTCCCACTTTGAAGCTGCAGAAAGGATCCTTAGATACCTCAAGAGGTTCCCAGGGGATGGTTTGTTGTTTTAGAAACATGGGCATTTGAAAGTTAAAAAGTGCATACAGATGCTGATTGGGCAGGAGTAGTCGATGATAGAAAGTCTACCAATGGGTATTGTACCTTTGTGGGAGGAAACTTAGTTACCTGGAGAAGTAAGAAACAAAGTGTGGTGGTGGCTAGGTCTAGTGCTGAAGCAGAATGCAAAGCTATGTCTCATGGAATTGCTGAAATCATGTGGATAAAGAACCTATTAGGTGAACCGGGCTTTATAGATAATACCCCCATGTCACTCTATTGTGACAATAAAGCTGCTATCAACATTGGCGCAAACATAGTCCTCCATGATAGGACAAAACATATTGAAGTGGGCAAGCATTTTATTAGGGAAAAACTTGTGAGTGAACAAGTATGACTCCCTATGTTAGTTCAGAAGAACAAATTGCAGAAATTTTCACCAAGGGTCTTCATCCTGTGCGGCAGAATGATATATGTGAGAAGTTGGGCATGATTGACATCCATGTCTCAACTTGAGGGGGAGTGTTGAAATAGCTTGTTTATTCTAATTATTTTATTCAGTTTATTTTCTCCTATTCTGATTTAGAATAACTTAGATTTTTAGTCTATTTATGTACTGTAAGTGCTGCAGGGGTATAAGAGTCCTTTCTCCATCTTTTAAGTGTCGCCCTATATTATATAATATAATATATTCTAGCACCGCCAGAACTGATTTGACTCCCAATCACTTTCTCTTCTCTTCTCCCTTCTCTCTCTCTCCTCTCTTCTTCCCCCTTATTTCTTTTGTATTTTTCTTCTAATAATTGCTTTCATTTGTTACATCACTTTCTCTTCTCTTCTCCCTTCTCTCTCTCTCCTCTCTTCTTCCCCCTTATTTCTTTTGTATTTTTCTTCTAATAATTGCTTTCATTTGTTACCCTATAAAAGCCATATTTAACCACTACATGCTTTGCAACAAAGGCCTTATGTTGTTAGGGAAAGGGTGAGTAATTTAAAATAGTTATCAAGGCTTATAAGGAATGGTATGATGGCTGTATTTTAGTGTGTATTTTCAGAAGTATGATGCAAAGGCCATTCAAACCTGTGTTGGCATGCTTGTCAGCCGAAGATTTTAACATTACACCAAGCAATGTAAGTAGGGGAAATATAGCCCTTCAATTAGAAAACTAATAATAAGATAATACCACTATGATCATACACACTTGGGCACATTAAATTGTCAGTTTGATTGGCTTTGTGTTAATGTGTCATACATTGATAAATGCTTTAATAACAAACTACAGTTCAGTGGATAAGATTTGGCAGTAGAGAACCACCTAGTCCCTATATTTTGCAACTAAGTCACCTCACATTCCACATCCAGACCATGAAACCTATTCCTATTATGATTTCCCTATCTGATGGATGATCTGGATCTGGATCTAGCTTCTTAATTGATCCGAGTTTAAGAAATTTGCTTCCAGAACAGCTTAAAGACAAAAAAAGACATCATGGATTTCCAAAGTGACTTAATGAAACACTAGTAAAGGATAATCAAAAATGGAATAAACAAGGTCACCTGTTTATGCCCTCTTGAACCAAGGTGTGGCGTTGCAAACGTTACAAAATTCATGGGTTTCAATCCAGCTATTTTGCCCTTTGATTTCTCATCCAGGCATGGATTTCCATCACCATCAGTTTTACAATCTCCATTTCCTTCAGAAAGTTGTTTTGTAAGATTTTGCTCATAAAGCCTACCAATAGCATATCGTGCCACCAGACCACCCAACGAATGACCTATAAAGGAAATATTTTGAAGCCCTGGATTATGTTCTATGATTGATCGTACCTGAAAGAAACATCATTAAGTTTCTGATCTGTCATGGAAATCTCAGTTTCAAGGGTATAACATCTAACAAATGCATTTAGCAATTAAATTTAACTTGCAGTGAAATAAACAAAACATTTAGTTTGAAGTAAATGCCTAATTGAAACTTAAATTGCAAAAAAACAAACAAGATAATGATGAAAACACATGATGGAGTCGCTATGCACCTCGTTTGCTAATCTCTCTCCCATTATGTCAATACCATCAAAAGTCAACATTGAGGAATTGCACTCACTGCCTGCATATAGTGCAGCAATAAAATACAGTCCGCGTTAATAGTGAACCCAAACATGTCGTCAACCATGAATTCCAAAATATGCATGCAGAGGATATTTGTCAGGCATTTGTATACTTGACATTAACAACCTCTTATTGCTAACTTTCATCATGATCGGGACAAGGATAAATAAGCACTTTTTTTTGATAATTTATTTTTTATTTCTTTTTTATAATTATTACAAATCAATGTGACATAAGGCTGAGAAGGATAAAATAAACACCTTTAAGTGCCCTGTATTCTAATATTTCTATTGATAATTGAGTGTGAGAGGGGAACTATACATCATTGTTGTCAAGACCGCATCAGTTGTCAACTGGCTGAGGCTGGTGGGTCATGGGTCAAACAATCTAACTTTCTAGTCTGATTGGCTCAAAGGAAAGCAAAATAAGCTTAAAACAAAATAGTGTACTACCTAGTAATATAACTACTTAAGAAGATTTTGAGTATTGGTTCCAACTTCCAGTCCCATTCAAGTCTGACAAAAGTGTTTTACATTTTAGCAGGCTTTTACAGGGGGCAGAAGCCTAGATGCCAATGGGGAGTCGTTAGCAGAGCAGCATCACTTCCGTATAGTTTCCTCTATGTACTGCTTAGTTTCTTATCCTTTTTTTTATTTTCTTATAACTGCATCAGTACTTCCAGACTTGGAAAGATTTTCTTTAAGGAACCAAGTTTGGACCATAATCCTCTGGTCAGGCTTTTTCCTTTTTGGGATAAAGTGTAAAAGCAAAGATTGAACTTCTTACGTAAGTCAAGAGGGTGTAAATGAGGGGATGCAAATAGCAATACAAAAAGAGAAAGGCGTCCCTCCAACATTAGAAATTAAGGAGGTAAAAAGTTGTCATTAATCATTATACAAGAAAGCCCTCTCCGCCATGGATTTAGCAAAATTTTCCACCATTGAATTCAAATCCTATGGTGTCTGGTGTCCATGTAACCTGATCTAAATGTTAGAACCCTATTTCATTAAGGAGGATAAAATCAAAATTATCCACCACTGAATTCAAACCGTATGACTGCATAACTGGTCCACCAAGTCCATCTTGAGCATTTATGCGTGTCATTTAGTAAGTTGGGATCAATGTGACTTTTTGTGGGATGGAGGAAGTGAGAAGAATTGTCATTTAGTATGTTGGGATCAGGTTTGCAAACCTAAGGAAGTTGGTGGACTTGGCATTGGGCACATTAAAGATAGGAACTTAGCTCTTCTTGGGAAATGGTTGTGGAGATTTCCTATTGAGACGGGAGCTACTTGGACATCCATCATTAGCAGCAAGTATGGGAGGAATGCAATTGGATAGGATAGAAAGGTCCACTTGAACTGGGTGAAAGCAACTAATCCCTGGAAAGGTACCTTCAACCTACGACTTATTCATTGGTTATATTAGGTATAAGGTGGGAAATGGGAACAAGATAAAAATTTTGGACTGAACTTTGGTGGGGTGGGAGTTATTTAGCTATTGCCTACCCTCAAATTTTCAACCTGTCCCAAAGCCAAGAACCCATGGTATCAGCATGTCTTACCCCTTCAACAACTGAAAATAATTGGAATCTAAATCTCAGAAGGCCCTTGAGAGAAGTAGAGATTGCCAAAATTGCAAACTTGTTACAATCCCTTGGAGAGGTTTACATATCTCCTAATACCCCCAATCAGCGGGCTTGGACACTTAACCCTGCTGGAAAGTTTTCAATTAATTCCTTTTTCAAGGCCCTAGTGTCAAATGATCTTGATAGTAGCTTCCCGTGTAAGAGAATGTGGTGTTCCCATATCCCTCCTAAAGTTTCTTTTTTTTTTTTTGTGTGGGGGAGGTGTGTCTAAAGAAATTAAACACCTGTGATCTGTTGCAAAAGAAGAACAAAGGTAGATGGTGTATTTATCCTCATGCTTGCACTCTGTGTCTAAGTGATGGTGAGTTGGCTGAGCACCTTCTACTGTATTGTTCCATAACCAGGAAGATTTGGTGTCACTTCCTCAGGTTAATTCAGGAAGTCCTCTACCCTTCCCCTGGTCTTGATGCACATATCCATTTCACTCCAAGGTAGGGGGTGATGAGAATAAACTTTGATGGGAGTGCCCAAGGGAACACTGGTACAGCAAGGATTGGAGGTGTAATCCAGGGTAGAGATGGGAAAAGCTGATTCTACAAAGGCAGAGATTTTGGCGGAACTTCACTGAACTTTGATGTGCTAGAACGTTAGGTTTATCCTCTCTAGCCATTGAGAGAAATTCTACTAATACTATAAAATGGCTAGGGAAAAAAGATGGCAGGCCTTGGAGGTTGGCTCATTTTCTGGCAGAGGCTAGAGACATCATGGCTCAATGAATGTGAAGCTGATTTGGATCCCCAAAACACTTTAGGCCTAGCTAAAACTGGTGCACATAGAGAAATTATGTTTAGTGATAGATCTCTGCCACTGTAACTTCTTTTTGCTTTCTTTGGTCTTGCAACTTGATGTACATCTTCTAATGTACCTCTTTTTTTGAATAAATTCTGAGTTACTTATGCTCAAAAAAACAAAAAAATTAAATGTTAAGTTGTCAAGACACAATAGTTCCAAATGTTGATATAGAATGCGACACAAGTCACACAACTCTTCTTACTCAACACCAAAGGCATGATTATGCATAAAGTATCCTTCCCAATATGTTGATGCCATGTTTTTATTATAATCATTTGAGATGAATTTTTCAATAGATATATCATACAAATTTCAACCAAACTTCTAATATTTACAAGTTTCCAGAAGATCCATTGAAGTATATAGTTTGTATCATTTCTGTTTTTGTTGAAAATAAGTAAATGAATCATTAGAAATCAAGCAAGTAACATATTGTAAAATTGAAATAGAGATAACAGTATATAAGAACTATATTATATTTGTGCTTGTGACTCTTCCTTCACTTCTTTTTGTTGGCTGAAACATAACTGTAATGTTTAAGTCCAAAATATTTAAATTTAAAAGAAACAAAAGGAAATACATTAGTGTAAATTGATGTTTGTCTTCCTCATGGTTGTGTACTTTTTGTTCTGTACCAATATGTTATACTAGCAAGGAGCATGTAAAGATGAAAAAAATGGACAAAAGAACTATCAATACAGTATCCAGTATAGGCATCAAAATTGTATATTTTGTTAGTTGTCATAGGCATCTTTGTCAAGCTTTTGTTGAAGGAGGCACAACCAGCATGATCTGATGACTGGAAAAATGCAGGAATTTTTCAAGTGAATAAATTCAAACTTTATGGAGATTATACGACATGCAGGAATATCCAATTGAAAAACCAAATACATGATGAATCCAACCAGCTAATTATGTCATGAATCTGAAACTGAAAGGCTTTAGGTCTTTAGTCATTTCTCTATGTTTATCTCTTCCCAGTGAATACATGATCTCTCTGGATTAATGTGATAAATCGGAGTTCTTAGCATGTTCATTTCTCTAGAACGAAAACTCTGCTCAACCAAATGTATAAAATCACTGATTTTTCCGTTAGAAAGTCCCATTAAAAAAAATTAACCATATATATAGGCACTCAATAGTAAGACTGTAAACATAATAAATGCACAAGCAGCACTGGAAGTACAGTCATTGCATTAAATTAACTGTAATTACCAGCAGTGCCAAGATGGCTTGACAATTTGATCTCAAAAACGACAGAATCCAGAAATAAAGGAAGTGAAGAATAGAGAACACTCACAATGCACGAGAATATCTTGGGGAAATCTTTTGCGAAATTGTTTTGCTGCGTATTTCCAATCTCTAGCACTGTATGCATAAATTTAAAAAATAAAAATAAATAAAACAAGTATAAAATTTTATAAGAACTGCTAGAAAACAGAATATTATTTTACTGAATTCAACAAGTAAATACAGAAAAAGCTCTTCCAATTAGGAAATCATTCTGGCAATGGCTATAACTCCAATTGGAATTTGTTGTGTTAACAGAGAGCTGAGAGCATTAGAAGTTAGGTCCCATTTGTCAGTTGTTGACTTTGACCTTCCAAAATGCTTCCCTGACATTAAATGGAAAGACAGGTTCATAAAAGAAAAATACTCTGGCCCCTCACAACAAGACTAAAGCCTTTAAGAAACACCATTTAATTTACATGCTGCCTTGTATTAATGGCTTTTGTTCAAAGACTTAAGAAAAATGTTCTGCAATGAAGCAAAGATTTTATCCAGGCTATTGTTTTCATTTTATAATTTGAGCTGATTTATAAAGGCAATACTGTCAAAATATGAAGAAATTCTTCTTGGAAAGATATGTTGTTTTGCATGGCTTTAACATAGTCAAAACCACTCTGCAAACCTTATATCTACAATACTGGATCAGTTTCAGGGTTCTAGTGTAGTTATTTGCAAAACTTTAGATAATAGGGACTAGGTTACCTAATAATTTAGAAGAAGCTCCAGTTAGAAGAAGTGATTTGTTACAAGTTGAAGGAGCTAGAAGAGCTAGGGTGGACCAAAAAGGAAATGGGTAGAAGTAGTAAAAAATGATTTAGGCAGTAATAATTTAACAGTGGATATTGCTTTAAATAGATTGGATTAGCAAACAGGATTCATGTAGCCAACCCCATATGGTTGGGATAAGGCATGGATGATGACATGATGATTTGGTTACCTAAACTAAATTCACAATAGGATTTATGTAATTATATTCACATTTGGATTTTGTTGTGTTTCTTGTTTCTGTAACATCAATTTCAGGTCTGTTACACTGACAGAAATCCGTAGAACCCCTGTTCCACTTTCTATATTTTTAATGAGGCCTCTTTTCTTCACTCATCTTAGTATGATGCTAGGACCTCCTACTATTCAATATGGGAAGCTATATGAATGTGTTTTATTCGAAACCCACTATCAAGCAGGAAAATTAGGTCTGAGTCGTGATTAAACAAGCCAACTTTGTCCAGAAGAATGGGATCCACACCAATGTACTGGGATTTTATATTTATTTTGTATTTTTTCTGTAACTCGGGCTTTTATTTTAATTCAAGTTAAGAGAGACGCCTATTTGAACTTTTGAAGTCATCAAGAAGATACAAAAAAGAGAGACGCATGAATCCCTTTGTTAAGAGGGACCCAAATTGTCAAAACTTAGCAGTGTAGTAGCTACTCTGAAGTCATCAAGAAGATATAAAAAAGAAAGCTTTATAAAACTTGATAAATAAGCTTCGTGCTTCAAAGAGCTCAGATTAAATCAATCCCCTGAAATGTACAAGCAGTAAACATAAATACATACAGGCACAAAATTCGTATGGATCAGTCAACTCTTCAGGAATGCAATTAGTAGAAGAATGGCAAAGGAACGAACCGAACCTCCCTGTGATGCCATTGACCATGACGACAAGGTGAGTCGGAACGTGGTGGTCTCCGTTATTACCGGACTCAGTCACCGGACTCGGTCCACCATCCACGTCGGGTTCTGATCTGAAACAGCCGATTCTCGGCACAAAAGATCTCTTTTTAGACGCTGTCTTTGACGTCTTCGTCTTCACTATATTTGATTCGTCGTGTGATGTTTGGGACTGCGGTTTTTGAGCTGTTTCGGAGGAGCTGCTTTGCAACTCCAAAGAAGCCATTTTTAGAAGAACACGAAGTATAGAAGCAGAGGAGATGATTCGAACTTCACGAGTTGGTTTAGTTCGTTGGAGGGAGGAAGAAGAAGAAAACGAGAAAAATGAAAGAAAAAAAGATTGTATCTGTGGTTGAAAGTCGACGAGGCGGGATCTCTCGGTCTGCCTTTGTTTATAGTCGCCATATTATTATTACGTCAATGCTCAACAGCGCCAGCGACGACGCTAGCGAACGGACCGTAGGAGACCCACAACATCTCTCGATGATAATCTCAGAAATAATAATGTCATTATTGGGAAATACGCTCGTGCTGTGGGCCTGATTTGAACTCGGACCGAAGACCGGAGTTGGAATTTGAGAGGCGAGACTGAGAGAGACTGACTTGGTGTTGGTGCGATTTCATCTTTATGCCCCTGGGTTTTCCATCTATTTACACGTTTCCGGTATTATCACTCGTTTCGTTGAGACTCCAGAGACTAGAGAGAGACTGAATTCTTTGTAAACTCCCCTACTTTTTCAACCAACGGAAAGAGACATTAGACACGCAACCGATTAAAGGTTTGAAAATTGAAAACTTTCTAGAACCAATATGAAATAAAAGCTAGCAGAAAGAGAAAGCTTTATGTAACAATAAGGACTGAACCATTGATTGAGCTGCTTAGTCTGCGTTTGGAATCGTGTAAAATTTTACTCCAATTCAGTTTTATATGCATTTGGATGGATGGAATGGTGTTTTATCATTTTATGTTGTGAATCGATATAAAATCTTATCATATATAAGGTTTTATATCGATTATATCATATTTTTCAAATTTTATATCACATTTTTCAAAAATACAATGATCACTTAATGATAATTCAATATAAAAATACACCAATAATATTTTACACTAATTCAAAACGCAGCCTTAGAAGGGCTTTCACACGTAGTAGCTTCTTCTTGATTTCGGTGGTTTCCAGAAACAAAGCCTACAAGGCTATAACCCATGTCTAATGGAAAACCGGATGCTTTAAGTCAGTTAGTAAATCGATTTTCCGATTAAATTAGTTTTAGGTATTGTTGATTTTTAGTTATCCGGGTAAGTTGTTGATGGGCAAATGTTAATTATTACCCGAGTAAATTTCAGTGGCAGTGTTCGGGGATGCTTCCACTTATCTAGGTAAAGAGTTTGGTTGTAGATGATTATGGTTTCCTCGGGTGAATGAATAAGTAATTTATCTACCCTTTAGAACAGTTGGTATCACTTCCAAAAATTTTGTTTTGATAAATTGGCCAATTATCCAATTAACTAACTTACCCCTACAACAACAGGATTATTGTAAATGAATGATGCCTTAATAGCTTCTTCAAGCAAATGAATGTGGATAATTTGGATTTTTATATTTTTGATATAAGTGGACTGCAATCCATTTCAGAAATCTGAAATTGCAGTTTCCTTCCAATCTACTAATAACCTCTTATAAATTGTATCCTACCTGTGGATTTGACATCAATCCACAGTCAGGATTCAGTCTGCCCTTAGAAATCTAAACTCCATCTTAGGGGTGGACTGAACTATAAAAACCCTTTTATTTATTTATATTTTTTTTTACGATGAGGGAGGGGAGGGGGGTTTATCAAATTTACCTCATCAGCTGTTTGGGTGATAGTCCAGATCCCCTACCCACAAGAACCTAGACACCTACCCACAATAATGCACAACATCTCCCCATAAATGACGAAGTATGGGGGTATGTTCCCCAATCCCCAATCCCCAATCCCCAATCCCCAATCCCCATGTGTGTGGTGTGGCAGTGATCGTCATCCCTAAGTAGGCCAGGGTAGGTGATCTGATTGTGTTTGAAGCAAGGTTTTTGAATCGTCGTTGATCCGGATGGTCAGAACGTTTGGCCTAGGAACAGTGCAGACAACCGGTTCCGTTTTACCTTAAACCCGACTTTTAACCAAAAACCATTCTAAAAATCAATAACCCATTGATCCATGCAGTCGGACCATCAACCCGTTTAACGGTTTTAAGTTTTAACCATTTTTTATTTTTTAATTTATCTGTTCAAATCGGGCCATCGACCCAAAAATCGGTGGCCACAATAGTTCTGATTACAGGTCGTTTCTTAAACACAATAAAAATCTACTGCGTGTCATATCACATGCATGCCCCTTGAATTCATTTCAATCCCCACGACCACGGGACGAGACTTCTCTCCACAACGTCCTACATTAAATACCGGCGAATATTGAAAATATCTCCCGATTATAATACCAAAAATAATGACGTCATCATCAAAAGATATTTTCAATACCCGGCGGGAATATGCAGATGGACGTTGTGGGGGCTGATTTGATCTCATGCCCCTTTAATACCTACAGAAGTAAGGGGATGGACGTTAGTTTGTCCCATTAGCTCCCAAATTCGTACAAAAGCCAATCTCCCCATATTTCCGCCCTTGACTAATGCCTCTACCCTTGTGGCTTTGTTTACTGTTCACTYTCCTCCATCTGATCCAAGCTCGGAATCCATGCCTTCTCCGGCGCATCTTCCATATAGAAGTGAATGCAGTTGAATGGAAATAGGAAAGGCGGTTGGCCGGTCTGGGCAGCTGCTTTTTGCTTTCCAATTACACCCATCTCTTTTTCTCTCTCAATTTTGAGTATTTTTTGCTTTCAAAATATGGGATTTACACTCTTGCGTTTCTCTCAGCTAACTTCATTTTCCATTTCATGCTAAGCAGAATCAAGAAAAAAAATAAGGCCACATTCATTCGTACATACATTTAATATGAACCAAAACTAGTGATCCTCCAATCCGATGCTCAGTTCCAATGAACTTCGATTGTTTCAAATTATATATTACTGTGGATTGTAAAAGAAACTAATTAAATCTCTGTTTTATCAAATTATATTTACTTCCATATCCAAATGCATAGCCTCACTAACACCAATTTGGTATAGAGTCCAATCGTCCTGCAAGTCTGTATTGCGGTGGACGAGTTCAACTGCTCAACTGAAATGTCGGTGGCTTGACAAATTTTGTGCTTCACGTCTCACACCGTCATTATCCGATCAAAATCCACAATCATTTTGAAATCGTAGTCCACAAACTGCTTAAAAGTTAAAATGTGTAAATTCCCGGAGGAAACCGTAGACGATGTAGTCACGGGTGCAGTATTTAGAAAAAATTCCCGCAGGAAACCGTAGATGATGCAGCATTCAGAAAAATGCGCGTCCTCAGCGATTCGGTAAGATTATAGATCGTTGTCGTCCTCTAATTCCAACCAAATAAGTGACAATGTTTGCTGACCCACATCAATTCCCTACATGTCTTCTTCTGCTCCAGAATAGTTGTGGATGATAAGGGTGGACTCGTGCGGCGGTGGTTCTATGGTTTCTTTCCGTTCCAACGGTGGGCGTTTGGCGGGGTTCAATGGTAAAACAGGAAAAACAGGGGTTAGGGGGAGAGAGAGAGAGAGAGAGAGTGGGAGAAGAAAAATGAATGAGATAGAAAAGAGATGCAGAGGAGTTGCCGCTGTTAGAAGTTGCAGCGGCGGTAATGGAGATGTGGGAAGGAACAGAGGGAGAAGTTTTTGGGTCTGCTACAGGGAAAACAATGAGAAAAACAAGGTTGACGAATATGGAGAGAAAGAGAGAGAAGGGGGATTAGAGATGTGATAGAAGGAGAATACCTCAAGATGGTGAGACGGCTAGAACGATCATCGATGCCGGAGAACGCATGGATTCCAAGCTCGGATCGGAGGAGGGGTATCAGATTTGAACATGCGAGAGAAGAGATAAGATGAGAGGGACGGGGAGTACCTCCGGTGTATCTATTGGAACGATTGTCAGCGCCGAGTTATTGTCAGTGTCGGATTTTTTGCATGCTTGGACGAAGAGGTGCAGGGTCACGGTTACACAAAGTCACAAAGCAGGTCAAGACAGACGAATATGAGCGAGAATGGCCGAATGGAAAAACATTTTCGTGTTTTGGATGAAATTTGAAATTAACGACCGTTCTGTTAGCTAATCATCCACAATAATTAGCCTAATCAGTTATCCACGTGTACATTTGTTTTGTATAACTGGACTGAGCTTCGGGGCATTCACGAAGACTGCAACACTCTGTGAAAACGATCCCCTATTTTTTTTTTTTTCTGAAAACAATCCCTCGTTCTTATGCGAACCATCCCTTGCTTTCTTTCTTTTTTTTCTTACTCTTACTCTGTAGAAATGGCAGCAGAAACAGGTAACGGAGATTCAGCCTACACAGATCTGTTTTCACCATATTTCTTGAGTACAGTCCGGGAATTATGCAACCTGGAGAAGGGCCATGGTGAAAGCATTTTGGGCGAAGAACAAAATTGGATTTATTGATGGCACACTCAAGAAACCGAATGGGACAAAGACTGCAGAATTTCATGCCTGGATGAAAAGAAACTCTATGGTAGTTTCCTGGATTTACAATGCTTTGGCAAAAGAATTGCATGAAAGTGTGGCTTATGTAGAAAGCGCTCGAGAGATTTGTAGAAAACTCTATGGCAGTTTTCTCAGGAGAATGCACCCCGCATCTTTCAGCTGAAGCGGGAATTGGCATTATTACGACAGGAGAATCTCTTTGTCTCCATCTATTTCACAAAATTGAAAAGCAATATGGGATGAACTTTCAATCTACACACCGGGACTGATCTGTTCATGCCCTTGCTCTTGTGGAGCTTCAAAAGATTTCTAGGTTGAAAGAGATAAAGAAAAGGTCTATTAGTTCTTGTTGGGACTTAGTGACTACTTCAACAACATCAGATCTTACATTTTGAGTATGGAACCCCTGCCCATGTTTAGCAAAGTTTATGCCATGGTTTCACAAGATGAAAGACACCAAACATTAGTCTCACATCAAGGCTCGACCATGGAAGCAGCTGCTCTTCATGTAGCTGGACCATCCAAACCCAACAACAGTAAAAGCATTAAAGATCGCCCCAAGATCAATGCAAAAAACCTGGACATAGCAATGACGGATGCTATGAATTGCTATGAACTGCATGTTACCCACCTGGCTGGGAATCAAAGCGATTCGAAAGGCCTTCAATCACTGATAAGGACAAGTCAAAACCCAAATTCCCATCATCAAGTGTTCTGGGATCAGAACAAAAGGTCTACGGATTAACTACAGAACAATATCATCAATTGATGAATCTACTCAATGGTGAAAATTAGGGAGCCTCGCAAACTTTGCAGGTACTCTTTTTCATTCTCAGTGGATATTAGA